TCACGGGCTTCGTAAATATCAAAGCCAACAAAGGCCGAGGTATCAAAACAAACAAGGGGTACATCGCAGTGTTTGTGTGCATGGTGACTAAAGCTGTGCACATAGAATTAGTATCAGATTTAAGTTCATCATCATTTCTAGCAGCGTTGAGAAGAATGGCGGCAAGAAGAGGTGCCCCTCGCAACATCTATAGCGACAACGGCACAAACTTCGTGGGTGCATGTCGCAGTCTCAATGAAGAATTTATTAACTTGCAATCGACATTAGATAATAATTTTTTCACTGCCATCACAGATATGGAAATAAATTGGCATTTTAACGCCCCATCTTGGCCCACTGCCGGAGGCCTTTGGGAAGCGGCTGTTAAAAGCCTGAAATATCACATCAAAAGAGTGATCGGAGAGCAAAACTTAACATACGAAGAATATTCAACCCTTTTATCGCAATTGGAAGCCTGTCTAAATTCCCGACCGTTATGTTCTCTGACTGAAGACATTGAAAATATCGATTATCTAACACCATCTCATTTTTTGTCAAGTGGACCCACATTAACCATCATAGAAACCGAGAGAGACCTGAGAACAAGATGGCAATTAACCCAGAAAATATTTACCGATATATGGAAAAGATGGAAAGTTGAGTACCTATGTCAGTTATCGTCTCGATGCAAATGGCGTCAACCTAAAGAAAATGTCAAAGTTGATGATGTAGTCCTAATACACGATGCTAACCTTCCTCCAGGAAAATGGGCACTCGGTCGTATCATAGCCTTACATCCCGGAAGTGACGGTTATGTGCGAGTTGTATCAATTAAAACAAAAAACGGTATAATCAAAAGGCCAATTACAAAAATATCAAGATTACCAGTAGCTTCCGAAGAACAGCCAAATCAGCAAGAAAGTACTGCGAAATCAAAAGTAAAAAATATCACGACAGCAGCCGCAACAGTGGAAGGGAAACCGAGAAAAGTTCATAAAAGTATCAATTTATTTAATTACTTATTCATCATATGTACACTTATATTATCATTCAGTGGATCAGCATTCTGTAGATACAAAACATCCAACCTAAATACCAGTCAAAGTGTATATTTTGATAAAATTGCTAATGTACGTATTGAGAGAAACCAGTGGAAACTAGTAATTTACTATGATTTGTCTCCATATTGGACGGGAACAGCATTACTAAGTAAATATATAAATCACCTTGAAAACACATGTTTCACTACCGGCAATAAAAAGATATCACAATGCAACATTATACTACTCCAATTACATCACGGGTTCACCGAGCTCGAGCATTACAACAGTGTTTTGCTCGGTCAGCAGCTCCCAGGACGTGAGCCGAGTGCGCGCACGCGACTCCGCCGCGGTCTTATCAATGGGATCGGAAACATTGCAAATCAGCTATTCGGAGTTCTTGATAGTGACTTCGCTCAAAAATATGAAAAAGATATAGAGCTTCTTAGATATAATCAGAAACACTTAGCAAACCTATGGAAAAATCAAACTTCGATAGTGGAAGCCGAGTTTAACTTGATCAAGAGAATAGAACAAACCATCGACAAGCAACATAAAGTTTTTAACACTCATTTAAATAATTTAGAAAAAGCACTGAATATACAAGAAGATGAGATACAACTTTTAGAGTACTCCAGTGATTTTATTACGTCCTCTGTTATCGCCAATAATCTAATAGTAAATTTGCGACATATTCAAGAAACTTTAATCGATTCTATTACGGATACTTACCACGGAAGATTTAATTTTCACCTTCTCACACCAGAACAGCTACTCAACGAGTTTAGTATCATATCAAGTTTATTATCAAAGGAGTTAACGTTGCCGATAAACAACATTCAGACAGATCTCTCGAGTATGTATCATTTACTTAGTGTAAAAGCGAGAGCCCTGAAAACCTTTATCATATTTGAAGTAAAAATTCCCTTAGTTAGTCGAGACAATTACGAAATTTACAAACTAATACCTATTCCACAGCAATTAGAAGATAATATTAAAACAATAACGCCAATATCAGATTACATAGCAATGAACTTACATAAAGATACCTATATTCGTATGACGCATTCAGCTATACAAAGCTGCGATGTCTTTAATAGCGAACTTATATGTTCATTAAAGCAACCTGTATTTGATATGGATTCAAGTGACGATTTATGTGTTAAAAATCAGAATTCTACACAATGTAAGACTAGCACTGCATTATGTCAAGATAGATGGGTAGAACTTCACAAAACTAATAATTATCTATTTTTCTGTTGCAATTATTGTAACGTGCGGATCATATGTGAAGATCATGTTACCGCTACAAAGTTATACAAAGTAGGAATAATAACATTAAGTAATGGATGTATAATTAAATCGAATACCTTTACAATTTACTCTCGAGACGAGTTATCAAATGTTTTGAATGAGACTCTGAATGTCCTTCAAATCGATATTCCGCCGATCAATCACATTTTAAATATCTCAGTTCCTGTCGATCACATAGAATCGACATCGATATCATTTTCTGATCATCAAAGATATATAAAAGAAATAGAGCAGAAGATAAAGAATTTGGAAGTTGACGCGAACGACGACACTTTAGCCGAACGTATATCCTATCACGACGTTCATCACTACGTGGTCATATATCTGGTACTGGGTGCCGGAGTGACTGTGGGTGCAGTGATAGTGTGGCGTCGCCTGGCGCGAGCGCGCACGGCGCCTGAGCCACCGCCTGACGCAACTCTGGCTAGCGATGCTAGTCCTTCTTCAGTTCAGTGTTGTGCTAGTGTAGTTAGTGCGTGTAAAGATAGCTCAAATAATCAGTGCAGTGAAAGTGCTATCGTGAATAGTGTAAAAACAAAAAGTGCGCGTGTGTCGGTATCAAAAGATAGGTCTACGTCTCCGACGTTTACCAGACATTTCTCACTCTAATTTTAAAAGATTTTAAGAGAATATTGTTTAATCACCTTGTTAGTAGAATAAGTTAACAATGTATATCATCTTGTCGCACGTCATTCATAATCATTTCTTAATACTCCCACCCTCTCCTATCTCAGGCCCGGGAACATGTACGAGCCAACTCGTACAGTTTTGTCTAGTAATCATTTTACGCTACATTCATTAATTTAGGTCAATTTGTAGTTAGTTCGTCATCGGTAATCAATCACGCCGCGCGTACTCATATCATTATCATTCCATATATCAGTAATTTTAGTTTACTTGTTACAATATATCAATTATAATATATCAAGACTTTTACTTCTCTCTCTCTATCATAAAAAGGTGTACGAACCGTACAGTTAATATCAGATAAATACTGATTTGTTTGAATAATGTAATTTTTGTTGTGTTGATGATGTTGTTTTCTTAGCTTTATGTATCTATTTTAAATAAAAAATCAGCCAGGTGTTTATTTGCTTTTAAATTTTGACAATATAATCGCTTATTGCGCAAAGATATCAATATATCGATATATTTTTGCCAATATTTTTTAATAAATTTGAAAAATATCGATACGATATATATCGATATCTTTTTCCCATTTGCTCATCCCTATCAATCACATACACCATAGACTAATATTGTAAAAGTATATAATAGGGTAACTCAAAGAGTATTATTATATTTGGGTAACTACTCTAAGAGGGTAACGGAAACAACCAAAGAACGAAGTAGTATATAGGTATTAGGCACTGACTAAGAAGGAGATACTAACTGCGTATACTGAGTATTTGGTAATACCTCTATAATCCCGAATATGGCAGATACGGTATCATGAATAGTGTCCAGAAAAAATATCACTAAGTCTGAAACCTTCTTCTATTTTTTTCTTCGAAGTAAAACTGTACGCTAACAGCCCTAAGAACAGCTGTTGCTGTTTATTTGGTCATCGACTCCTCATGCCGAACTAGTTTAAAAAATAACAGAAGTTAAATAAATTTAAAGATAAATGCCTAGAATAAATATGTATCCGAGAGTAATTTATTTATTCAAAAACAAAGAAAAGTTATTAAAACAATTTTATCTTAAATTGTTTTAATTAGAAAATGATAAATTATGGAACTATTCGTTATTAAATATCTGAAAACTGTATTAGTACCTATCGAATAGGTGCTTACCTATTTTCATATATTTATTTTGTTGCAAATAAATAACGACACACAGTCGAGTGCGCGCGTCGGCAACATCAAAGTGTATTCTAGGAAACATGAGAGAGTGAGAGGAAATAAGAGAGAGACAGAGTGAGTACGCCGGGACGGCCCGTATAAGCTTTCAGGGCTGTAGCATATTAATTGAAAACAAATTTTTAATAATAATATTTGTATGAAAATCTAAGTTAACGTGAAATTGTTTTTTGATATAATAATTGTTTAGTTTGTGCTAGGTTGTGTGGCCATGTTTCGGGATCATACATGTATTTCCAAACAATTGGAGAGTGGGCTCTTTTTCCCATTGTATATGGGATACATTGGGGAAAAGAGCCCACTTCTCAATTTTTTTTTTCATACTGTGTGAGAACGTTGACTACAGGGTGACCGTTTCAAAAACGTTAAATCTGCCCGACACCACCTAGATATCTGCAAAATCATTCTCATTCAATTAAAACTGCCAACAATATGTCATGATGATTTTGCGTAGTTAGAGTATGTACAGTGCGACCTGTGCAACAGAAACAGTAGAAAATAAATGAGTTAGTAACACAATAAATAACTTAAACTTACGATTCAAATAAATTAAAATTAATTTGAAAGTTAGATGTTATAAGAAATACGACATGATGCCATATTTATTAATTTTCGATACTCAATTTACTTTTATTACGTCAGAAAGAAAATTTGAATCATAGACAATTATCCGACAGTCGATAGTGACATCTAGTTTGATTCAAGAACTATTTTTTATTTTTTAAATACTTCCTCATTTAAATATTAGCAACAATAGTACTCTGCACTGCTCTGTACTAGCCTGTGGTACTAGCCAAAGACTACAGTGTATATAGGGAGGTACTAGCAGTAGTCATCTGATTTTATATGGTTTGACGAAATTTTAATCCTTAATAATCTTGGGATTATATTGTCTTAAATTCATTTAAAGAACAACAATAATGGCTCTAAAAGCTGGTGGTGATTCTGCTAAAGTTAATTCAGCAGTATATAAAGATAAAAGCAAACCTACAGATATACGTCTTAGTAATATAAATGCCGCTAAAGGTAAAAAGTTCACCTGTTTATATTTTTCTTAATATTACATTATATTAAATGACAATATCAAATAAAACCTATTGAATGATTGTCATATGTTGAAATTTTTTAATATTCGAAATTATAATAGCACATTTCGATGATTTATGCTATTTGTTTATTAATTATTTTATACCAAAGTTCATTTATGTTTGTAAGGCTACATGGATTTAAAAACAGCAAAGTTACACTAAAATTTTATCTCCTAATGCACAACAATAAATTATTTATACATGAAAATTTGATATTAGAAATTTTTATCAATATATTTTTTCTAGTATCTGGAGATAGACAATACCTTGATTATGTGTACCTATCTTTTTGATTATTGTTACATATTTTCATATTTTTATTATCACTTTTGTTACAGCTGTATCAGATGCTATTAGGACTAGTCTAGGTCCTCGTGGAATGGATAAAATGGTATATTTTTAGTAAACTAAGGTTATTTGTATTGTCTAATTAGCTATTAAAAAGATTCATTTAAATTTTAGATTCAAGCAGCTAATGGAGAAGTAACTATAACTAACGATGGTGCTACAATCTTAAAGCAAATGAGTGTTATTCATCCAGCTGCAAAAATGGTAAGTATTTTAAAATTAAATGAATCATGCTTAACATATCAAGCAGTGTAATGATGCATTCACAAATAAGCAATTATAGATGTGAAAATAATATAAATTTTTAGTTTTATCTTAAATTTCCTTACACCAAAAATGATTACTATGGATGTGAGGTAATGAGAAAGGGACTGTATTTCATAACATGATTTATTTTGTAAATGTAATAAAACAATGGAAACATAAATTAATATAGAGATGTATATAAACACAATTTTGATTTGAGGGCAACTAAACATCATTTATAAATATATTCAAAATTAAAAATGAAAGTGTTAAAAAAAGAATTGACCAGTTAGTTGCTAACAGTGTGCCTCTTACCATAGACCCCTCAACAGTTTCCAATCTAAACTCATAGATTGACTTTGTATTTTCCATAATTTTAGTATGTTATAATTTCAGTTGGTGGAATTATCCCGAGCTCAAGATATAGAGGCTGGTGATGGTACAACCTCAGTAGTTGTCATCGCTGGTGCATTATTAGATGCTGCTGAGAAGTTATTGCAAAAAGGCATACATCCAACAGTAATTTCTGATGGATTCCAAAAAGCTTTGCAGCTATCATTGCAGGTATTAAAAATTGGGTAATAGTAGATTTATTAATCACTTAAGATAGATTATTAGGGTTCCTTACCTCGAAAGGAAAAAGAATAGTTGTAGGACCACTTTGTTGTCTGTCAGTCAAGACCCTTTGTCTTAGCAATGCGTATCAAGCTGAAATTATATCAAATACATAGGTCTACTGCTCCTTAGAACTGTGAAAAATCAAACTTCTAAGACAATGCAATCAATAAAAACAACAGTTTAAGCTGCACATCAAAACCTAAAGAGAACTTCCAATCGACCTAGAATCTTGAAATTTATGAAGATATGTTTTACAGCACATATAGAGGAAAATCTGACAACCTTAAATTTTGAGTTACATCACAATATACCTACAGGTTTGTACAGAACCCTTGGTGTGCAAGTCCAACTTGCACTTGGCTGGTTTTTTTATATATCCCTGAATCCAAATGGAAAACAAGCCTTTCCCCTTTATAATATTATAGGTACTTATATTAGTATAGATCCATAAAATTAGAAATTTTCACCATATTTTAATTTTCATATGCAATAAGTTATTTTATGCTAGTGTAATATTTACCCAGTAACATGTAAAATAATAATAATTTGAAAGAGATAACTCTTAAAGTGACTTTTATATCTTCTCTCAATTATAAAATTTTGTAAATGTCATTCAGGGTTTATAAATTCTTTATAAATTATAAATTTTTGTATTATTCAAATTCATTTAAAAAATTAAAAATTCTTGTTTCTTGTTAAAAATTATAAATTTTATATAAGCAAATTGTGTTAATTTTTTTTATTAAACTTACTTTGCTTCATTTTGTTATTTTTGTTTAATTTATTTAAAGAGATTGTTAGCACAGAATAATACAGTAACGAAACTTAGAACAATTGGTCGCATTTGGGTGTTGTGGTACCTTCGTTGTCTCAGATACTCCATAATACGGGGGCTTTAGCTACTCATCTTGGAATCTGAGCAATGTATGTGATGTTGTTAAATATTTATTTATTTATTTATTTATATTTATTTACGTGAATTTTCGGGGGTCTCGAGGTGAGCTCAGTTGCTCTTGTCACGGCAAGACTACTAGACTTACGGAAAATGAGCGATCTCAATAAAAATGATACGAAAATATTGCGTATTATACGGATGTTTAAATACGACGTATTCAAACCAGGATCTATCGTTTTTTAAATTACCTATACTCCATTCATTATAACATTAGAAAAAAGAGGGTCATAGAAGCAGCAGATTAGAACATTTTATTTTCAAGATATTTAAAAAATATATATATTAGAATTTTTAAAAACTTTGAACATTAGGTAGTCTGAAAGAGCCGGGCATTTTCCATTTTCTACGATACCTCGGGGTTGAGATGAGGCCAGCATTTTATAAATTCATCTTTTACTCCCAAGCCAAAATGGAACTAAAACTGAAACTATCTATCTGTTGTTTTGATAAATTCTAATTGTAGGTGTAATTAGTTAGACTTTTGATGAAGACATTGGAAAAACTTCTTGAAATGTCAATGGTTGAGGGTAGGCATGAGGGCTTAGATTGTAATTTTTGTAGGCCAATCGGGCCTGCACTGGAATCGCAATTTAGTAAAACTTAACAACATTAAGATAACAACTAAAACAAAACTATAAGAAAACAACAATAAAACAGTAATTACTCAATCACCGAAAATGACAAAACAACAAGAAAGGCAGTAGCATTCACAATGAATGAGATTCCCAGATAACATATTTTTACTATTATGAATAAATCATAATCTGACAAAATTAAAAAGCTGTACTGCTGAAACTTTGGAAGGGATTAGGCAATGTTTTAAATTTGGTAGAGTTATAGTGACATGAGAATAATGCCGAAACTATCTAAACCTGCTTCTTTAGGTTCTTTAAGATGAACACTTTTTATTGTAATAATTATTAAATGTTTTAAGTCAGTCAAATACTCATAAATTTGTTTAATATATAGCTTAAAAGACTATGGTTAAGCATAGCAGCTGGTATTTAAGTGGATATGTAGCAAATTAGCCGATAGTCTTAAGAGTAACATGATTGTTGACATTTTGTCACAAAGTATACCATAAAAAGAACCTTATTTTCATTCTGTCTAATGCTATAATGAATGGAGTATAGAGATATTGAAAAGTAAGAATATATTTATATAACATTAACATTAACTGTAAAATAGCATAATTAATAAAAAATAAATTAATGAGATCCCTTTTAACGACTTTTGCCTCTTTAGAAAAGGTTCTTTAAAAAAACTATAAAAATTAGGACTTTTTATAACATAAAATAGAATAATAAAGTGTTCAAAACTTATCGTAACAGACAGACATACTTTTCAGTGTGTAATATACAAAGTAATAACAATAAAAATATTTTAAGAATAATATAATATTGTTTTATCAGTTTTATTAAGAAGGCAACCCTAATGCTCCAATGCAGCGTAGGTATTTTATTTCCAGAATTAGCTCAAGTTTTGCTACTGTATTATTCTGTGGTGTTAGTGAAAAATAAGGCATTGGAATCTTAATTCCAATTTAGGTTTGTTTTGTATATATGTAGTAATAACTGAGTGCTATGAAAGTCTTTTGAGCATAACAAATTAATTATCTTGTTTATTTTGTACTAGGTGGTAGAGGGTATGTCAACTCCAGTGGATCTTTCCAATGAGGACGCCCTTTTAAAAGCTGCTGCAACTTCTCTCAATTCCAAAGTGGTGTCACAACATTCTACCATTTTGGCCCCTATTGCAGTTCAAGCAATTTGTGCTGGTATGTTTCTATTATTTTGTACTGATAGATTTTTAGACATGAGTTTTATTGTAAATTTTTTTTTTTGCTGTTGTATAAAACTTTATTCTAAATAAGTAACTCTTACTGTTAATTGTTTCAGTAATGGAGCCTAACGCTAACGGAGTCGGAGCAAGGGTTGACTTACGCGACGTTAAAGTGATTGAACGAATTGGTGGAACTGTTGAAGACACAGAATTGATTCAAGGGCTTGTCATTCCACATCGCGCCGCCAATGTGAATGGTCCACATCGCATTGAAAAGGCTAAAGTTGGACTCATACAGTTCTGTATATCACCACCAAAGACTGATGTAAGACATTTAAATTACTGTAACTTGTGTTTGTGATTACAAACTATACTTAATATTTATATCATAATTTCATTATATTGATGAGAATGAAAATATTTGATTCAATGTTTATTATAAAACCTTAATAATATGGGTGTACATTTTCCTTAGGGGTAGAGCAAAAGTATAGATTCTCTTTAATCATATGAATTTCAAATGCTTTCAGGTTATCGAAAGCTCATTATCCTATTAGTACATGAATCCTCACAAACCCAAAAAAGTAGTTTTTCCATTAATTTTAATAAAAAGTAGTTTTTCCATTAAATTTAATTTTGTTACTTCATATATGTCCCCACAAGGGAATTAGGATGGAATGGTGAAGATACCTATAGATAGACATAAAAATACTAGTAACAAGAAAAATAATACTAGCAATATTAATGACTAGAAAATTAATAAAGGATGAATTTGTGGATTTCTAAGAGCTAGTTATACTAACTTTGCCGTAAAGAAAAATAAAAATGTTTTTGCATTAGATGGTACTTGTAGCAGGAAGTCTTTTCATCAAAGAAATTTGTTAAGTGCTGCCCATGGCAAGCACCAGGGGGACTCTTTGGCTATCCTAATAATCTTAAAGTAATATTCTTTGATATTTTTAGATGGATCACAATGTTATAGTATCAGATTATGCTGCTATGGATCGTGTTTTAAAAGAGGAACGTCAGTATATTCTGAATATAGTAAAACAAATTAAGAAAGCAGGATGTAATGTTCTGCTGGTGCAGAAATCGATTTTGAGGTAAATATTTAATGTATTCTCATGATTGCCATTATCATTGTTTCTGCTATTGAATAGTTTCATGCTGTAATAAACAATTAAATTATGAAAATGTAATTATCAGTGATTTATAGAAAATGAAAGAAAATATTAACTAGAAATTGGTTCAGATAGAATGTATTTAAAACAGAGGCCTCTTTTCTTGCAAACATTATTGTATTGCATATTAAATTAATTAAAAGTGTGTGTGAGCATCTCAAATATATTTCTATGCTAATATTTTAAAGAGGAAAGATTTCTTTGTTTGCATTTGAATAAGCTCTGAAACTATTGGATCCTTTTAAAAAACTAAAGAATGCAGCTAACATAGGCAACTTATGCAGACGAAGTCACTGGAAAACAGCTAGTCTATTACAGAAAATAGACAAATATTTGCTATTGTCATCTAACAAATAAATATGTGAATTTGTTCTTTCCCATTTGCGTGTATGTGTGTAAATACTTTTTTATTATTGATTTCAGAGATGCCTTAAGTGATTTAGCTGTGCATTTCTTAGATAAAATCAAAACTATGGTCATCAAGGACATTGAGCGTGAAGATATTGAATTTGTTTGTAAAACTCTCGGATGCCGCCCTATAGCGTCACTAGATCATTTCACTGCTGAGAATCTAGTAAATGTTGACTTAGTAGAAGAGATTAATGAACCAGGAGGCAAATATATCAAGGTAACAATTAGACTTTTCATAATACTCCATGTGATGTGATTAAAATTATATATATTCAGATGAATCATAGTTCTTATACTAATCATATAATTTAAGCAATAGATTCTTTTGAGATTTTTAAAAAATTTAAATGAATTTTTAATCACTTCATAATTATTTTTTTGTCTTATTGTGTATTATAATGACTTCTTTTTATGTATATCAATCCTTATTGATTTTAAAGGTCAGTTGAGAGATAATCATTAATCACCAATGGGAAATTGACTATAGCAATGCGTCATTATTTCCTATAGAAATGCTTATGCATTATGACCAGTACAAATGCTTCTTCAAACAGCAGGCTTGCTTTTCAAACCAATCTCAATATCAATTTCAACTCAATCCAATGTCAATCTTAATTTTCATAAAATCTTAACTCATTATTTTGAAACATAGACTCAATGTGAATTAGTTCATTAAATAATCACGCCATATTGAGCCAATGGGCGCTAGTGTTCCAATTGAAATATCACTATCCAGATCTATCAATTTGCGATCCTTGTAAACGACGCAAGCGTTTGGCAGGCCAATTCTGCTAATGTTTATGTAATATTTGCATTTTACCATTGTACTGTGTACCTGAATTACACACCTCTGATATCCAATATTTATAATAAATATTTGATGTATATATCTAATATATATCATGCATATGTAAAGCTGCGACTTTATTTATATTTGTTTATTTATTATTTAAAAGTAGTATGCGCGCGAGGATTCCCAGAAACGTATAGGGGACTGACTTGTTACCTATATTCTATAATAAAAATAGTTATTATAACAAGCATGAAATTTTAAGAAAAAATAAAAAATCAAACTGTCACACTTCACGTTCATAAAGTTCATAAAATCTGAAATTTCTTCTATATAAGATCGCTACTTTGAGTCAATTGCAACATTGGGTTAGTTAATTTTCTATCTGTGAATACCCTTATATTTACTTATAGACGATTTGTGTCTTTTATGTATTATTGGTTCATCATCATCATCATCATCAGCCCATATTCGTCCACTGCTGGACATAGGCCTCCCCAATTGCACGCCATCTACTTCTATTTTCGGCTGTTCGCATCCAGCTCCTGCCAGCCATCTTGCGCAAATCAAATATTATTGGTTGTCCTAATCAAATAAATAAATACCCAAACGAGCAATAAATATCAATCGGTGTTGTCAGATGACCGGGTGCGCTCAGGGCGGTCGCACGGTGTGCGTGAGTGTGCGCGGCTCGTCCGGCGCGGTGGTGGCGGAGGCGGCGCGGTCGCTGCACGACGCGCTGTGCGCGGTGCGGTGTGTGGCGCGCCGGCCCGCGCTGCTGCCGGGCGGGGGCGCGCCCGAGGCCGCCGCGGCCGCCGCGTTGGCGCGCGCCGCCATCGCCGCGCCCGGCGCGCACCACTACTGCTTGCGGGCGTACGCGGACGCGCTGGAGGTGGTGCCCTCCACGCTCGCCGAGAACGCGGGTGAGTGTTGTGTGTTGTACGACGCTGACGTGCCGGCTGCGTTCGTATTGCATATTTTGAACTGCTTAGTACTGAATTACTTACGGTCAGTTGCACAAACGTCAATTAAAGTTTAATGAGGACTTTAAGCTCTAATTAATGTTCAAAATTTGAAAATTTGTATGGGTAATATGGCATTAAACTAATAACAATTTTAATAGACGTCTGTGCAACTGGCTCCCAGTTATAGGTTTCTCATTCATTGTCAGCTATACGTCGACCACCATACCAATCGCGTGTATACTCCATTACCTTTACTTCTCCATCTATACTGTTTCATTATACGTCATTTTACTACAACCATTATTAGTTCTATTTTCTTTATCTTATAGTTTGTTAAATAGTGTGTTTATAATAAACTTCGTCCCTTTACCGTTACTAGTGACTTTGTTTACATTTCCCCTTTGTTAGATGTATGTTTCGCATAGCCAGTACAAGTCTGTTAGCTAGCTTTTATTGTCTGGATACTGGTATATGTTTGGATTATTAAAAAATCTAGATTAAGTACGATTTAAATAATAGTGTGAATAATAATATAATAGTGTGTGCGATTTAAATAATAATCATATTTAGTGTGAATTGGTAGATTTTAATGATTGAAAATTAAGTCGAAACCAACTACTTAATGTGCTTTTTGAAACTCGAGACAAACATTTGGTCACCAATCTTATGCCTGGCTGTTGCGAAAATTGCTTATGTCAACCTCTTCAAATCCAAGAGCCATATTAGATATAAACGTTATTTAAAAAAATAAATAATTAAATCAGTTACCTGTTGTTAAGAACTGGCCAGCAGGCCGGTGAGATATTTTTAAGAAGTTTTTTTTTTGACATTTTATTCTCTTTTTTTCTTTGGTCTTTGGTTCTTTCTGCTGCCATGTAAGTTAGCTGCGTATTTTAGTTTGTATATATTTTAATTATTTTATTATTTCGTTAACTTTTGAGCCCTTTCTTTTCTTCCAACTCCTATCACTACTACCTTTCTGTTATACCTGTTTATTTCATTCGAAGTTTAGCACATGTGGATCGATTTATCGACACAATGTACATCTACTGAAAGGGACCTCTGAATGTGAAAACTTTTTTACTACATAATACTATTTAGTCGTAATGGTTCACTCTAAATAACGCTATTTAAAGTGGGCTATTAACCGTAATGTTTTGCAGGTCTCAATCCGATTGAGACCGTGACCGAGTTGCGCGCGGCGCACGCCCGCGGCGCGGAGAGCGGCGCGTGGTGCGGCTCGGGCGTGAACGTGCGCCGCGGCCGCGTGACCGACATGCGGCACGAGCACGTGCTGCAGCCGCTGCACGTGACCACCTCCGCGCTAGCGCTCGCCACCGAGACGGTGCGCGCCATACTCAAGATAGACGACATCGTGAGTAATAATAATAAAATCATTTATTCTCTCAACACAAAATTATGTACTTACATGTGAGTCTTAAGATTCTTAAAAACATTTTGTATCTTAATTATGTGAGAGACTGGAGCCCGAAATTGGTTTCAGTAGAAACCTGTGTGTCAGGTCACCAGTGTGAGTGTTACACTAATGTATTATACTGTACTCCATTCATTATAACATCAGAAAAAAGAAGGTCATAGAAGCAGCATTGCATAACATTTTATTTTGAAGATAAATTAAAAAAATATATACCTATTAGTTTTGTTGAAACTTTGAACGTGAGGTAGTCTGAAAGAGCTGGGCAATTTTCCATCTTTTACTCCCAAGCCAACATGAAACAAAAACTGAAACTATGGTTTTAGCGCGTTAATCTATTGAAATTAAAAAACAATTTTAATAGATATAAAGATTGGAATATACCACCAGTTTGGGATCCAGTAATTAGTTAAACGAAATCGCAATCCACATCACACACTGGAAAGCTAGTAGAATGAAAAAGTTAAATAGTTATATTTAACTTTTTCATTGTAAACACAATGAAAATTTATTTAGTTTTAGACGTTTCGGACCCTTTACAGGTGCCGTTTCACATAAGACTAAAGCGTTATTTTTTTATTTTTTTATTAAAGGTATAGCTAACTCAAAAAAAAAAACAATACTATTGGACTCATTTACTCCTAGCTACCATAATCTACCACCAGTTTCAAATTTTTGAGTATTGTCTGAGAACTGGCGAAACAAACTCTTGACAAGAAAATGTGAATTGCTCCCTTTAATTTAATATTACTTTTTCTTCTCGCAGTTTGTTTCACCAGTTGTTTCATTTATGGATAGTGCACATGAAAATATAAGAAATAAAAACGAATAATAAATCAAATATAAAAATTTTGACAGATTTGTATAACCTGCCGTACTGTTGACTGTACTATAGTGCTTGTAAATTGTCATATTTTATTATTGTTTCTTTACGTGTAAAGACCATAAAGTTAAAATTTGCGGAGTTGTGTAAACGCAAATAGGCCATGAATTAAAAAAAGAGGAGGTGGCGTAGTTTGGTTACTTTTCATATGACAGTCGCACGCGGTTTGGTATTCACTAAATAGCCAGCACCGCGGCCATAGCTCGATACTCATATTAACTAAATTCATATTTCTTTTTGCAGGTAAACACGATGAACTAGATGTTGTCAGCCGAGTGAATAAATAATATCTCGTATATAACGTGTTAATTTACAACTAATTGTTTGCATTTAATTATGCTTATTGAACAAGTTAGCTTTGCGTAGAATACACATGACTACAAAAATGTCACAACGCTGAGCTGTTGGCGATCGTAAATATTTATAATTTAGTTATGATTCCCCCTTACTAATTGTATTGATAGTATTTTATTAAAAATAAAATTAATAAACTATGGAAATGTTTTATTTAATCATTTTTCATTTAAAAGCAAAATTCGGCTTATTCTCCATTGCACATGTGCCTTTATAAGGGTATGGATGCCACTCAGTAATATAAAGCAGGGGTGGAGAGGGTTTTGGCAATTTAGAAGAAACAAAAATTGCAAAAAAACAACAAGTAATGGTTTCCAGCACTTCAAGTTCAAGTTGTTACGAAGCTTAGCGCCTCGGTTCGTCTACGCCAGTCTTTCCCAAAGTGGGCGATGACGCCTTGTGGGCGCTGCAGGCCTAGTCATTGATCTAAGTCTTATACATTAAATTACTTATTAAACTCTCATAATACAGCAACTTTGCTGTAACTTGTATCACAAATAAATCGAAAAGATATTTTTTTATTCACATTACAATGCATTCAGCCACCTTTTTTAGTTCATTTTAAATATCCGGCTCCAAGGACTATTATGTGGCGTATACTTATTGTAATAAAGACTATAACTGCATAGTAACTTTAGAATCAAAATACATGTTGACGGTTTGGCGATTTAATGAACGTTGTTCTTTTTAAATGTATGCTTAGAACCCAACAATTATCGTTTACAAATTTAATCATTATCTGGTGAATACTATGGTTAGTATCACATGAGATGTTTTCATATCTTATCTTTTTAATGAAGTAACTTATTCTTTGTACTGCACATCCAATTGGGTATACTGTTGTGGTCAAATTATTCAATAACAACTGCAAATTATCATGGAAAGGTTAACAAAGAAAAAAATTTAAATAATCATACAAATATATTTCACAGTAAGTAAAATAATTATCAAACATTTGCAAATCAAAACTATTTTAAAAGATAAAATGAATTTTACAAAGCTTATACTAAGATGTTTAGTCCACTTACGATGATACAATGTAAGGGTTTCCATAAGATGGCGATATTCTAAAGTTCTAAGCGACGCATCTTATTCGTCACGAAAATTTACAATAAGTTACAACTAATGTGGTTCACCGATGTATGTGCGTAGAAGATCACATTCCGAAGCGCGGCAATTTTTGGTCAATCCTCATGACTGGCAGAATGGTGAATTGTTACACCTTATGGAAAAAAAAGGGCTCGTGCATTTCAATCATACGTTAGGACATCGTCGGAACTGGTAGATCTGCTCAGCGTAAACGACGATTCACCAAGACCATGCGTCATCCTAGTTGAATCCAACTGTAGCATCATTTAATTTGCGGCATCCATTTACGAGACGCTAGCACTTTTATTTTAAGTTTTAATATACTCTTAGAAATTAATAGAACATGTAAAATAGTCTTATCGATAAGGATGGATTTGATTTGCAGATTTGATGTTTGTCTTGATAGCAGAAGGTGCTTTTGGTAGGGAAGGTGCAGATGGCCCCATTTGCGGTGCGGGTCCGCGCGATGGTCCCATCCCGGGAGCTCCTATACCCGCCGGAACGATAGATGGCATACCCGGCCGTAAACCTTTGCCGGTTCCCACCGCAGTTACAAGAGCATGTGTGTCCGCAAGAATGTGGGTTGGTTGTATTCCTGTTAAATAGAAAAATAACACTGTTTCACCATAACTCCATAAGACATTTAAGATTTAGATTCCACATATAGCTGTTTTTGTAGAGCTTCTAAGAGTCGTTGCATATCTGACGAAAGATCCGTCAGCGTTTTACAATAGTATTAGTACATAACAGTTTCCATAGAAAGAGCAATATCGAATGTCATATAATTTGTTCAGTTATGACAAATAACCGACGAGACCGACGCTGATGAGAGGAGACGCATCTTCAGTCAAATATACCAACCAACCTTTATGGATTTGGCTGCAGCATTAGAAGATAGAAATGCAACGAAAAACGTAGATGTATATGAATGTGAAAGCACTCTTAATAATCTTATAAAATGCAAAATGTACAGTGAAAAACATGTCAGCTTATTAAAAAGATAAATTCTTACAAACTATTGTTAACCTTAATTGGTTGTAATTTTTTAAATGTAGATACAGCAGCACATCAAGTGACTACATAAACATCAAAGCATTTGTATTGAAAAGTCTTCTTTTCTACAGGTACAGTACAGTTTTAAAGCTACTTTAGTCATTAGGTAGGTAGTTGTTTCTCATTGCTGCTACATAATGGCAAATAAAACATAATGGCTGATAGACCTTATTTTCAATGTTTTTTTTTCATTTCATAGAATTATAATATAACAGCATTTTACAGGCAATTTTATTCCTAATTAATTAAATTTAATTTCCTAATAATTAGATCTTATTGCTTCTATAATATGCTGCACATAAACGGAGCTAAAATGGCCATTGCATAGTAGTACATTTTTGGATCTCAATCGAGGTGCAGAGCTGAAATGCAGTGTAGAAGTATAGCAACACAGTCCATGCTTGTACTTTCACTGAACAGCACCATTTTGGGTCAGGTTAGGTACTGGATATATTCTTATGAAGAAGCAATATTACTTTTAAAATAAAATTAAAAAATAACACAAACTCTAGAAATTCATTACCTGCCGATCTCATAGATTCTCCTTCCCAATCTTCGCGACCCTTAGAGATGATTTCCCACACATGACTTACAACTTTAGCAAACTGTGCTACTTGTTTCTGTTAATAAACAAAACATAAAATAAAAAAAGTAAATTGCATAGCTAACTACTATTTCTTTAGCTTTTTAAATAAAGTAAATACCTGAGCAGTATCATAGCTAAGTGTGCTAGCTTTATGATTGAACTGCTGTAATCTTTGTTCGGCTTGTGGTTCAGGCTTAGTTCTTAATAAATCTGGTACTAAATCATGAGTACATGCAGGAACTCTCCCTTCTGTCAACCGTGCTAATGCTTCATCACGTTCACAGCCAAGTTGCAGTGGTAACACTATTCGGGACCTCAGGGATGAGGCTAATTCAGCTTGCAAGATTTTACTTAAAGCAGTTAGCTGAAATCAAATGGGATTGATTATAAAGCTAGTTCTATAGACCACATAAAGCCAGTTGCATAAACATACACTAAAATTTTCATTAGTTTAAACCGACATTACCTATTCAAATTTGACATTCATTAGAGCTTAAAGGCATTATTAAGCCTTAATGGATATTTGAGTGACTGACTGATAGATATGCTGAAAGTTTTTGGTGAAAAGATCAATTACTTCGTTGATAAGTCATACAGATTTCCAACAATGAAACTTTTTTGTTTCACATTGAGAAAATTCACTCAAAATCAATTAAAATCTGAAATTGAAAATTGTTTTGCTGCATCACACAAAACTGCAAACTATTAGTAAATGAGGAAACATGGTTAAAGTTGACATACAATCCCACTTGATGCAACAAGTTTTGTAATACCATAATCATCATGGTATTGAAAATATTAACTAAAACTACTTCATTGATTTTTTAAGTGTTTCATAAATAAGTAGCACTGATGTACTAAATACAGTGAAAAAGTATAGGGAGTTTCTTTAATAAATTTCTGGTATATATCACATATGGCTTAGAAATTAAAACCTATGTCAGCTCATGAAGTTTATCAAACTTACATGTCCGGATAAAATAGCATAATTATCCAAAAATGTAGGCCAGTTGATTGTTTCATATTCAGTTTCCAATTTTGTAATAAGTGATTGTATCGCACTTTTTAAATCATTGACTCTTATCAATATTGCCTGTATTGTGTTTTCAAGTTGTTTTTCTTCACGTTGCTGCATATTCATTTTGTTTCAGAATTTGTTTTATTTTGAAACTTCCTTTCTGATCGCAGTATATGTGACTGCACCCAGTTTATTCAGTCTTAAAGGTTTTAAATATTGGCAAATCGTTTTGTCCGCAGATTCAGATTATATACAAGTCTTCACAAAATACGGAGCCATTATAAACATTTAATTATAAATTATTTCGTAATCTACCTTGCAGAACCAAAATCTTCTCTTTAATTCTTTAATGGCTACTTTGCGTCAACCAAAGACATAAAAGGAGATGAGGAGTTTCTGTTTTTATTAATGGCTTATCTGCGCAAATCGCAAAGTCTGCTATCATGTAAATAAATTTATTTCTACATGTAGAACTTCGATCAAACTATATTGTCGATTAAAGACGTCAAACGAAAATGAATGAAACGAATCCACATGAACGAATGTAGGGATTAGTGGTGTGAGAAATCGATTACGATTAATCGATTTAGATATAAACAGTAACTATCAATCATAATTTTCTAATCAAAAATTAACAGTCGATTATTGCCTAAAACATTACAATGGGAATAGTTTTAAACGTTAGTATAGTACCTTCTTACTCCACTTCGATGACTGAGCAATCTTTAGCGTCAATCTATAATGATTTAAAAGCAACTATTGTCACTGCTTCGTTAGCAGCTATTGACGAATCAGCTATGTTAACTGTCGAAACTGACGCTTCCGAAAATTTTATGGATGCTTCCAAAGCCAGAATATTTATATAAAAAAAATCGTTCGTAGTGTAAAAATTAAAGTATAATAAAGTTATCGATTATTACATACATTACAAGTAGAACATCCTTAACAGCTTCATGTACGACATGACAGTAAAGATGTCGGCGATTTATTGTAAAATATTCATGCTTGTTCATATTGGGGCCATTTTCGACGATGTCCTTTACTTGAATTTGCACGAATTTATTTATTTTTATTTAAAGATTAGCAAATTCACTCAAAAATATTTTACATTGTATTGCTAACGCATATAAAGCTATATTTACGTGTTCGTAGATGGATGTGTACATATGCATACGTATGGCATAAAGATAATTTTTTTTTATTATTTTTTTATTGTATTATATTTATTGTATTGTTTATTATAATGATACCTTTTGAATAATTTTTCCAGATTTGTCAATTATATATGCCGTAAAATCTGCTTCTTTAAAATGTTTTTCACAAACATAAAAATTTTCACCAACATCCAGGTTAGGAAACACATCACGAATAGCTTTTAACCACTCTTCACGTCTATCAATGTTCTTTGGCACTCTAAAAACTGAACGATTCGCTTCTCCAAAACAACCCGGAATTATGCAACGTTGTGGCATAATTGCATTTATAAATGAATAATTAAAAAAATAAATAAATAAACAAATTGAAGACACTAACACTAAATAAATAAATATTCGTTGCGTTCATTTGTTGAATGAAAAAAGTATTCACTAGCGCCAACAGATGGCGTTAGTGCATATACTCCTGCTCACAGAATGACCCCCTGTAGAACGAAAACATAGACGTATCCACGTCAAAAAAAAAAAGTTTTGTGACTGTCACTGTTATGAGGAAATGGCTGCACATCAACTTATTAAAATATGTCAAATTTCTGCAATAAATTTTAACCTCTAAGTTACGAACCATTTAAGGTTTAAAATCGAGAGGGGAAATTTGACAGTTTATGTAGTCATGACGGGTAGTTGACTATATAATCTGTGCTGTGATTGTTGCGTTTGCTTCATCGGTTCAATTTATATAAAGTTTTCATTTACATCTATTTTATTTGTGCTTAAATGAATTTTGAAAAGACCCATTTATAATAAATTATTGATCATGAGTTCTATGGATGAAATAGAGGAAGAAGCAAAATGTGCAGCCGAAAAAATGGTCATGAATATGATGCAAAGACCGGGACAACTTGAGAAAGTTTGTATCTTTTCCTGAGACTTAGAAGATATTAGGTTTATTTCCTAATAAACTTTCTGGAGACTTATTCCGAATATTTATTTTATCATGCCAAAATATTAGTTATGAAGACCCTAAATTACAAACTACTGTTGTTTTAGCGTTAACCTGAGTAACAAAAAAAAAGTAGAAATATCATAAATCTTTACTTTGTCATGGTATGACGCCCCCTTATATTAAATGCAATAGCATTGAGAATTTCTTGCTAAGAGGAAACTTATCAAAAGTTCAGGTTGGCAGTCACATATTTTTTATTTAGTAAATATAGTTACTAAATAAATATTTTATTATATATTGAGAGGGTGTAGATTATTAATGATTTAGATTTTGCTGACTGTTTTATAGATATTTTCTCTGATGACTTTTGGAACTTAATAACGAAATATATATTACCTATAATTTATGAATAAAATAAGCTTCTGATCTTTTGAATAGTTCAATTTTTTGTACTTTTTGTTCAGACAGATAATTATTAAATCTTATATATATTAATACAGATACACTAAAATACTCTTTTTTAACTTTAGCTATTTTACTGGTTATTTTTGACAAGTGAACTTTATTCTATATAAAAATTTAGATAAATTTTCTAATTAGAACCTTGTCGGTTAGTTGCCCAAACATCCATTAAGGTTTAATTATGCCTCTAATTAATGTAATATAAATACAAGAAATTTTATCAGATATATATTAAACCTAAAATTGTATAATTTGTTGTATTATCTCTTTGACTACCTGCTTAGCATTAATAAGTTGTAAAAATAAATAATTTTCTAGAAACCTGATAATTTTTCTACCCCTAATCCCGAGGTTCCCTGGAACCCACTAGGAATCACTTATAGGGAATTTAATCAGGTAAAATGCCTGTAGAATAGATTTTATTTGCATTTATTCATTCCAAGGACAACTGCTACAAAAATTATATAATGATTCCCAGTTGAATCAGATAACAACTGTTTTCAGTAAGTATTTTCTTTTTCAATAGGTGGAGCAGTATAAAAAACGAATAACTCACAAAAAAGCTTCAATAGAAGCCCAACTGAAATCTGCAGTACAGGGCAAATTGGATGGTGTTAGTGTTGGCCTTAAGCAGCTCCAGGAGTGTCTTGATGATGTACAAGAAATAAGTTTAAAGTAAGAAAAAATATTTTATACATATATATTCAACTAGACTAGCATACCTAACCTTTTCCAATCTGAAGACCCTTTAAAACTCAAGCATGTTTTCAATGAACTACCTTTATTAAAAAGATATGTCAAGATCACCTATTTGTATTAAAAAAATACACATAAATTAATCTATAGTTGAATGCTGTCAATTTATTATGTAAGAATATATAATAGGGTGGGAATTCGCAAAGTAATTTTTCCATGGCTGCAGTGTCAGAAGAGCTGTTTTATTTAAAAATTCACTAGAGCGCAGAGGTTTGCGATTCCGCAGCTGCCTCTTTTGTGAGAACGCCCTTTCAGTCTAGTCCTAGTGGGCATCCATCAACCAACCATGACCAAAATTGTCGTCAGTGCATCTCCGCACTGACGACAATTTTGGTTATTATTAATAACGTGCATTGCATTAACCATAATTTCACATCCTATACTGCAACTTGCATCGCAACATCACAATCGCTATGTGAGTTCTTTATGTTATCTACGATCTCCACCAACCAGGCGGTGTTGGAGCGCAATTCACAGTTTGCTTAAGGAAATTTAGACAGGTGCTCGTTTTTGCATGGGAAAACATTCAACTCACTTTATTTACATTATTAGATAAGTTCTATTATAAAAGACCAATAACACTGTTATGTTAAGCTGCAATAATATCCACTGACTTGACGAATTAATCTTTTATAGGATGGATGAACTCGAAGAGCTCTTGAGAGGGGTACCTCCTTTAGTGGCATCATTACAAGCAGTTAGAGAAGAAGATTCTCGGCACTCTCAATATGTTACTGCGATGGATAGTTTGAAGCACATATTTACTGTTCCTGAGAGTGTTGCAAAGACCAAGCAATGGATAGGGGAAGGAAAATTATTACATGCACATCAGGTTGTCATATAATCTGTTGGCAATTTTGATACATTAGCAGTTCAGTTTACTTAACCTTGTTTGCTATTCGTTTATAACTCACTTGGAGGCTAACTAATGAGGATTACTGTTTTTAAAATGCTCATTGATGAAGCTCCTTTTTTAGAGCAGCTAGATGAGTTGCTATTTGGGTCAGCAGGCAGAGGCAAAGACTTGATAGACTTAAAGTCCTTGATTTATCACAATAAGCAATTTGAAAACAGGACGAAATGCTTCGTTCAAAACGTTTAATCAATTATTTACTGAAACATAACTTCACAAATAATATTACAATTATAGATCTGTCTGAATCAACTATATTTTTCAGTGTCTCAATGACTTAGAAAATTCAAGAGATGATTTACTTTACGAACTGCATAGGCTACCTAATCAATCATCACATGACAAAATCATGCTAAAAGCATATTTTGAAGATGTTGAAATTGTATCAAATGTGCTCGAAAAACAAATAAAGCTTATTCTAGCTAGAACACTGAATACAGTACGTAAGGAACCCACAGTTATCGTGACTGCTCTTAGAATAATAGAGAGGGAAGAGAAACGGGATCAAATGGCATTGCAGGTAATTTATATATTATATTATATAAACCAAATAGTTGTTAATGAATATTTCAATTGAGCTTAATATAATTTGTCTAGCAACAAGAGCAAACTGGTTTTTTGCCGCCCGGCCGACCTAAGAACTGGCGCACCAAAGCATTTGAAGTTCTAGAATGTGCAGTTGCCCAGCGTATAGAAGGAACGCGTGTTGATGAACGTGAAGATAATAAACTATGGTTGGTCCGTTACTTGGAGCTGACAAGACAACTCATCTTAGAAGATTTAAGAGTCGTCAAGACCCTTTGTGTCCCATGCTTTCCACCTCACTATGATATTGTTAACAAATACGTTAATATGTATCATACATGTTTATCATCTAGTGTGAGTTTATATTTATTGCATGATCTGAGTATCTTTAATTTTTTTTATTATTCCGTAATTTTATAATTGAATTGTATTTTAAGTTACAAGATGTGGTTCAAAATGGTATAGAAGGTAATGAATATGTTACATTGCTGTCATGGGTTCTCAATACATATCCTGGAGACGAGTTGATGGGCAGCCTACAGCTTGGAATTGATGTTTCAAAATTACCACCTTTGCTTAGTGAAGAAATAATGCAAAGACTTCAAGACGAATATTTACAGGTAAAATTCCTTTATTCATTGCATCTTAAGACTTTTTTCATCATCAATATTAAATTTCTACTGGATTAGATTTATGTACCATTTTTCATGTTCCAATTCCTATACCAGTTCCAAATATCAGTTCTTATATTTATATAGAAAATGGAGTCTAATTATGTGGAATGGATGGAAAAGACGCTCGAGTCTGAACGCGCAGAATGGAATGGCCAGCAGCTACCGGAGGTGGAGCCTCATTCTAACGCTTACCACACTCACGCACCCGTAATTATATTCCAAATGATTGACCAAAACTTGCAGGTACGTGTAGATGTTTTGATTGGTATAAATTTTACTATTAAAAACCCCAAATATTGTACATTCTAAGAGTTTCTTTTCTAGAAGAAGATATCTTTCGTTCTTCTTTATAATTTCTTTCTTTCAGGTGACTGAAACGATAAGTAAAGAAATAACTTTCAAAGCTTTACTGCTTAGTATAGATCAAGTTACTCGATATGCAAATATGTACAGAGAAGGTGTCATTCAGTTTAAGGTCAGTATTCAGTTATTCATTCATTCTTCTTCAACTCGAGTGTTTGATAAAGGTTTTATTAAAATTAAAATGATAATTTTTAAAGAAACCGTTTTATATAATATCAATTATAATTGCAATATATACCTAAATAATGCTGTAATCGTCCATAAGCCAGGAACGTTTCCACATTTTTATCTGACTGTAAGACAAAATAGTAATAAGGAGACGGGAAAAATAATACTATTATTATATCTTTAATTAGAATGCTCACTTCTCTGATCGATCTCGAGTGGCGTATTTTACTCATCACATGATCACCATCGTGAACAATAGTGAGCAGATGGTGCGATTGGCGCAGCAGACTCAGACGCGTCACTGGCCGCCAGGTCGCCACGACCCGCCCGCTGAGGCTAAGTTTGATAAGATGCTTGCTACATTTCAGGTATAGTACAGTCGCCAAATAATAATATCCAATAAATAATAAAAATTATTTGTTTCTCACCATAGACGACATAAATAATTTAAGATAAGATTACATTATGAAAACTTCGTGCGCGTGTACCTACGTACACGCGTACGTGCGTGCGTGTGAGCATGCGTGCGACAATTTAGTGGGTTGACTTTTGTGCCTACTAATAGATATCCTAACATTTACATTGTAGGTTCACTTAAATAAGACAAAATTTGTTAGATGCATCTATGCGAGCGCATTGGCATTATGTTTACGCACGAGTGTAAGAAATTTGTAATGCCGGATAGTTGTATAAAATTCTTTCTGTTTTACGACCGGACTATATATATATTTTTCTAGATTCCACAACTCAGGTGTCGTTAGAGAGAGAGAGAGTTAAGAATATTCAGCCATCTGTCTGTTTGTCCGTCTGTCGCAGCTGATTTGCTCTAAGACTAAAGCCGCGTTTACACAGTATCAGTAACTAACTCGGAAATCTAGGAAAATCATTGTTGCGCTGACATAGATTAAATTGGATCGTATACACTACTGATTCATTCATGACTGCTCCCGTGTCTCACGTGGTGGTGCCGAAAACTGACGCGCTTACTGACCCCATGGCCTTTATGAACCGATTGAGTTGAAAAATGTAATGGTGGACCAAAGAGTGATTTATAAAGTTAAAACAAGGGAACCGCCGCAAAAATACAAATTATATCGAGAATGTTGTGACACTTTAAAATATATATTTTTTTTATAAATACAACAACTTTTAAACGGTTTCATCAATGGCGATTTTAATATTATTTAAATTTTAATAAGTCGTGGTTTTGAGATCTTCCAATCGGCGAACTTTATTACCGATGTCCAGGCCGTACTGGATTACATAAGACTAACTCTTATGTGAACACGGAACCTGTAATGTGTCTGACAGGTCTAAAACTAAATATAAATGTGATAAAACCGTTTCAAATTCGTTCTATTTATGGATAGTGCGCTTGAAAATATATTTTTATTTTTAAATAAGTAAAAACATGTTATTCAAGCTCCTCCCAAGTAGCACAAAACACCATTATATCAAACTTATAATAGCACGAGTCCAAGCGTTAAGCATTATAATTAAATCGTATATCAACCGTATTTCTTTTAAACGACTCTTATACATAAAATTTGGGCCCCCCCTTTGTACGACTTTAAGCTTTATAAAAGCTGTGCAATAGCACTACAACTTTTGTATTATAGCATTAATAAAGTCGGGTAAAAGCATTCTAATAGCCACAAAAAGTTCAATTAGCACCTTAAAGTGCTAATTGAACTTTTTGTGACTATATTACAATAGATATGCGTAAATCAAAATTATAATACGTTAATTTAATATTATAAAAATGCTTACTGTTTTATTTCCTTTGTAAAAAAGTATATTTAATAGATTTTAAAAACATATAATCGGTTTAAATTATTGTTTTGTGTAAGTGTCATGACATGTTCTCTTGGCTGGTCTTTTAAGTATTTTTGAATATTGATTTAAACAGCTCGTTTTGTGTGAAATAAGCTGCACACATCAGTTTGTGGAGTAAAATATACAAGTTTATGGTGTAAAATACACGCGCCTTCGCAAACTTCCTTTAATATAATAAAAATAATAAAAAATTTAACCTAGTAGCAAAAATTTTTGTTGAATTTTAGGCTTTTTAGCATTGTTTTAACAACATAATTGCTTTTATAGGCATCTGTGCACGAAATAAATGATTATTTACCCCTTTTCATCTGACACAGTTGACTTTAAATATTTTGTAAGAATTGGAAAAAGAAAGCAAATGGCGACTCGTAAAATTAAAGCATTAGGTATTCAAATATGGTGTAGTAGAGCTGTTAATCGTATTATGGTTAGACACAAAACTAAGAGCTCGTAATTCACCGTATAACACACTCCCATTTTAGTTACAGCCGTATTTTTACACTTCAGAAGTATCTTATAGTGCTTATAATCATCAAACGATTATTTCATTTTTATTTTGATTTTTAAAAGCTTCAATTAAATTAGAATACTCTTTTTTCAGTTTTCATTTATATCCACCTGTTTTCTTTGTTTTTCCCAACGTTTTTTGTCCATGGCGCCAGCGATGCGTATAAAATGCCACCATTACAATACAATACATAAAATAATTTTACATTTTAATTTCACATAAAAAATAATTACGATCTATTTATTACTTCTATCTCTATAAATAACTTAATATTGATCAAAATATAGCTTAATGTTTTATAAAAGCATAGATTAAGAAGATAAAGGAGCTTGAGCTTGATTAAAGAATACTTTAAGAACAAATCGGTGCTAAAGTTTTACTTGTTATTTATTCAATGTGTATATAGGATAAGCATTAAATCGATACAACCATAGGCCATTAAAAAACCTTTGTTTCTAGAAAATGACTAAATACAACTAAGTGCACTAAATAGTATTACGTTAATGCTTATATAATATATAATGTTTTTCATATCACCGAAATACGATAACAGCTTTATATTAATATTACCCAATACTTAAATAGGAGTTTTGACATTGGTATACTTTTTTTTATCAACCATAATATGGCATTACGCATTATTAGATAAAATAAATGCCTTTAAACAGATTCGAAACTTGACCAGAGCTGATTAGAAATGTTAGTATGACTTTAGGACATAAATCGGTACTTATTTTAGTTAATATATTATTTATGTGCTACTTGGGCTCTACCTTTTTTTAATGATAATACTTCCAATGGCATCAACTTTTTATTAAGAAAGTACATATTATTTTCAAATAAAAGCATAATGAATGAGCTAATGTATCCCCCAGTAATTAAAATGAATTAGTTTTAAAACGATTTATAAATAGTTTTTATTTTAGAATTTACGTAACGAAGCGGCGGCATTTTTACTAGAAGAAGCGTTCTTAGATCTCGAAGTTCATTTTGATGCACTTTTCACATCCAAGTGGTTACCTTCGACGATACCCGTGGACACCATATGTATCACCCTAGATGACTACTTCCAAGATTATAACCACTTGAGGGACAAGAACTTCGAATATGTAATAAACGAGGCTCAAAATTTAGTATATAAAAAATATATAACAGCGATGTTATCAAAGAAAGTAACATTCAAGACAGTCGAAGAAGCACAGCAGGCCGCTACGAAGATTGTGAAAGAAGCTAATCAAATAAGGTCATTTTTCAAGAAGATAGCTCCCGAAGGGGTGAACGTTGATTGGCCTTTTGAAGTAATCAGCATGTTAGCAGAGGTTAGTATTTATTTATAATTTCAATTGGCTACTTGACAGTTATATTATTATAACAATAAATGAGATGAGATATATTAGAAATGGTAACTAATATGTAAACTCTAACTATGTAGTATTGTTTGTTATATATTAATAAGTTCTAAATATATTATATTATTTCGAAACTAACTTGCAATTTATAATCTGTGGATTACATAAACGAAACGCGGGCGGCCATGACGGAACATCGTGTGACGTCACCACCAGCCTTTTTACGTCCCCACTGCAGGGGCTCAGGCCTTCCTTATGGATGGTTAAGGAGGATGGGCCATGACCCTGCACGCTGGCCCAATGCGGATTGGAGGGTATTAACGACTGCAAATGCAGCCGGGACCAACGGCTTAACGTGCCTTCCGAAGCACGGAGTTGCTCGAGATAATAATTTTTTGGTCACCACACGTGTGACGTCACATCTCAATAATCTAAGTTCCGGCTTCTTTATTGCGATTGTAACCAGTTCTCATGTTTATTGAAATGTGACGTTACTGCTCGAAATGACGTGATAGAACGTCAGGTTCAGCTTGTAGATAATAACATTATTCGAGCAGAAATAAATACCCGAACAGACTGCCCGAACGATTTTTAAATATACAACTTTGATTTTCCTTTAATTAAATTTTGAATTGAAACTTTGACGTCAGTGGTAACTATTGGTAAATTTCATAACACAGGTGCTACGCTGCCAAGATATAGAGATGCTGTCGTTGGACTTACACGGTGTAGTGGCCAAGTGCCCGGACATGACGGAGGATCAGCTGGTCCGATTGCTCGCACTACGAGCGGATGTGCCGCGGGCCCATGTCCGTGATACAGTCGCGATAGCTCTAGCCGCGAGACCACCATCCCGTACCACTTCACACCCTTCGCTCTTCACTAATATTAACTTCAGTGATAAACTTCTTTCGCATTTTGCCCTGTAAATTTCAATCTATATAATATCTAAGTCCACACATCCCCGAAAATAGTTTACCAAACTTAGTTCTGTATCCTTAATTTAATTTCTGGAACTGGAAAGATTATAGAATTCGTGTAGAGCGCGTACGTCTTTTTTGTATTGAATCTTGATTCCCTTTGCGGAGGCATGTGGTGTTGAGCATTATTAGGGTCCGTTCATGTTTGACAGAAGATGCGTTGTCTTGTCAGCCGCGGGCCATCAGAACTGTCAAATTATATACGAGGGCTGGATTCTGGCGAAATCCACAAGGGCAACGCCATTTAAAAAGGAAGAAGAAGAGGGCTTAGCATGAGTTTTTATATGTTTAGTTCACCTTCAATCTTGAGTACGTTAAGATTTTAGCATGGAAACTGGCATAACGCCCCTAGAGATAACTATCAAGAATAACTGAAAGAAGAACGCCTCAACGTAAAACTTAAACACACCATTGTTATAATGATATTCGGCTTTGCGTCCATATTTACGCATACTTCCATAAGTCGCTTGACGTAACTTCTGTTAGATGTGCACTGGCCAATCAAAACCTCTTAAATGTTCAACAATATTCATTTGTTTGACCAAATACTGAATAATAATGTAAAGATTACTTAAAAGTAGCTATTAATAGATATTTAATATTGTATTTATTATCAAAGTTAAAGCTTTAATGGCATAGATTTATGTAGCATTTATACTAGTGTACACTTTAACAAAAGAATTGTAAAAAAGAAAACGTTTTGTGCATTGTGCTGTTATTTTAACATTTATTTTTCAGTAAAAGAATAGTGATATTAAACTTAAAATCAAGTTAAAAAGCATAAAAAAGATTTCCAAAGTTATTTTATAATTTTATTACGATTAATACATTTATGTACAATGTACTTACATCTGCATTGAATGATACTGGTTTTACGTCTATATTAAACTGTTAAATCTAAATATTTTTACACTTATCCTAGAAAAGCAAAAGTTCGTTTTCTTTATATACCGAAAAATCCTATATAACTCTCACAAAATTCATCAAGAAGTCAAAACACCGCGAAATATTGCCAGGAAAAAATAGTAAATAGATCACTCAATGCTTCACTAATTTAGATTGAGTGATCCTTGAAATATTGTTAGTTCAACAAATATACAGTTCCTTATGCATTCAATCCAGATGTATATTTTACCATATGTTATTTATATCTAGATTAACAAATATATCAGTTATTATCACTGTGTAAAGAAATCAGAATTAAATATAAATAAAAGTTGTAATCATGATTTAAGCCTGAACACTAAATTTATAAAATGTATTATTATGTTTAAATTATTTTTTATAAAAATATATGATGATAATATAAAAATTGTTTTCCTTTATAATGTGTTTAAAGGATGTGTCAAGTTAGGCTCTAAAATTACAATAGATCATTCGGCACGGTGTATAGAGCAATAATCGCGGGCGAATCAAGGCCAATTTGTAGTTAAGGGCGGGCGGGCATCACGCGGCCAGTCGCGCCGCGCCCGTGCCCCACGCAGCCGCGCCGCGCCCGCCATGCCCGCTCTCGGCACCGTAGCGCGTGCGCTGTCAACTTGCTGGCTGCTGCTTTGCGCTCTCGCAGGTGAGAGCGCGTTACATGGTGTTTATAAACAATATGTTTGCACTGTAAACATTGCTGCAAAGACATCCTTTTTTTTTTAATTGAAAATGTTTTTTTATTGGTTTTGGTTTTTGTTTTTTTTTTCAGTGGTGCGGGATGAGGTTTTTATTTTATCTCTTTTAAAAGTATATTTTTTATAAATAGTGTTGTTTAACTTTGATAAATACAGTTTTATAGAATTTAAATATTCGAGCTGGAGTAATTGAGTAAGATAAAAAGTCACAATATTACAGTTATTTTTTTATATTTTGATGTCATTTATAATTAGTTTTTACTTTTTTACGTTGATTTAAATAGGAAACTATTAAGTATAAAAAAAATTCATAATAATATTTATTATTTTACGTTTCTCGTACCTATGGCAGAGTTAACCCGAGGCGTGTGTTAGGCCGCGGTATTTTTAACATTCCCGGACCGCCTCAAGGTTGACTAAGATAGTCACGTATTCATTGAGATATGACCTAATTTTCTACAAATATTTATAAATAGCACCTATAAACTCCAATAGGTTTACTCCATTACGTGTTTAGCGGCCTTAGTCGAAGTTATGTCGCACAAACATCTAACGACGTTTCGTTATAGTGCAAGTTCATTGCCGCTTCTATCCAAAGAGGCAGTATAAAAAATCGTTTGAATATACTGATGGATATTAAAGTCGAAAGTTCTGAGAGTTACGAAAACAGATTTGCTTCACTTTAATAAACTTGTTTATATAAATGTGAGTATGAACAGAATCATTTCAGCGTTACAGATATTTTTCCTACATGTGATTCAACATGTCTAGCTTATAAAATATTTATTTTATAAGTATTCATCTCCCTACCTCCCACAATGAATGCCGCTCCGATGTCGGATTTGTCTTTTAATTTAAAAATTGCTTTAGTGGGTGGACTTGAGATCCTGGGACAGTACACGTAAATATAAAGCGTTCTCAATCATCTTTCTTCCTGTTTATTACTAGGACACTGATAATAGTGAATATTCAGGCGTCATGTAGGTGTAAATAGGTACATATACTATTATGAAACAACATGTATATGGTTCTCTAAAATTAAATGATTAATTTTTTTTTGTAAGGTAAACAAATATATATACATTTATATTTTTATATATGAGACTAGCGTTCCCGTATTATATTTAAATAGCTTTTGCCTGCGACTTCGCCCACGTGGTCCAGAAATAAGCAAATTCCATAAAAACTCATCCCCCAATTTACCCATTTAGGGGTCGAATTTCGCCTTAATAGCACCTACGTCCTTAAAAGAATCTGCATCCAAAATGCAAACGCAAGAATTATATATATATATATATATAGGTATGGGTATGAAATCTTAAATCACTCCATCTATTGGTGAAAAGCGCATTTAAATGCATCGTGTAGTTAAAAAAAATTCAGCGTGCCGATAGCAGGAAGCGATTTTTATTTTATGCTATACTAGCTTTCGCCAGCAGCTTCGCCCGTATGGTCCCTAAGGAAATGTTTAATGGGATAAAAAATTCCTATTATCTAAGTCAGCTATCTGTATACCAAATTTCATCAAAATCCGTTCAGTAGTTTCGGCGTGATTGACGGACAAACATCCAAACAAAGAAGCTTTCACATTTATAATATTAATATGATATTAATCGGATATCACTACATAGTATAAAACGAAGTCGCTTGATCTGTCCTTATGACCCTCCCTATATGTATGCTTAAATCTTTAAAACTACGCAACGGATTTTGATGCGGTTTTCTTCATAAAGTTTTTATGTATAATACAAGACCATATGGGCGAAGCCGCTGCCGGAAAGCTAGTAGATAATAATTTTATCTTGTCATTTCGTTCTGTAAGAAAATTAATTGATTTCTTAAACCTCGTAGGCAGTCATCAGTTGTCTATAACTGAATTCGCGGTGCCGAGCACAGTAGAAGCTGGAAATAATGCGGAGCTGCAATGTCTACACAGTGACGCCGAGCGGGTGGACTACGTCAAATGGTGGTGGACGCCGATGTATGCAGCCAGCGAAGACAAGAATCGCGTGCTTCTATACCAGAGGCTAACAGGCCATACACCGGAGATACCCAAGAAAAATGTGGGTCAGTACTTATTGCCTTTGGTTTAAACAGTTGCTATCTAACTTAAGGATCAGCTTAACTTCCTTGATATATAAACTGAGATATAGTAAGTTTCAACTTATATAGCGTATGGTGTTTCACAGAGCAGACCATATGGTTAAAATTTATAGTGAGTCTTGTTTCAATAGCCATAAGGTGTAAATTACAAAGCATTAAGTGTGCGTTTCACTCATAATCAGCGGGGGTCAGGTGTGTGGATACTTGAATCAACTGATTGACTGACTTTTTCCGTGCGTTGCAAATTTTGAACATTTATTTTTCTGCGCAGGTACATCGATTGCAGGTGTATCTTGTTGTACATTTTTTAATCTTACTAATCAACATTTCTTTAATTTGAAAATTGTATTTATTTATTATGTCTTTAGATACTATAGTATATACATATATAATACTATATATATAATTTTAATATTACGATGGTGGTAAAATATAGATACGCACGGCCAAAATATTAGACAACATTACATACATAGCTCAGATAATTTTCTATATTGACCCTACCTGGAATTAATCCCGAGACTTCAAGATGGCGACTTGTTATATTAAAATATCGCTATATTAATTGGTGGTATAATAATTCGATGATTAAAATGATTAAATTCATTACAGAAGGGAGGGAGAATGACACGATAGTGTTAATGGATCTGCACTCGTACGACTCTGGTGTATACGAATGTGAAGTGTCCAACGTTGCTGAAGTGCGGAGACATCAGGAATTGATAGTGTACTGTAAGTGCATAAGAGATATATTATACCTACTTACAAAAATATAGAAAATTATCACATCCCAACATCTCAAATAGCCAAAGTCTTTGTGCTATGTAAATCTGATGGGATGAAGGTACCATACTCAAATCAGTGTAGAAAAGTCTTATATATAAGTTTTATATACACAACAACAACAATAACGTTCTTAAAATGAAATCTAAACGTTTTTGTGAAAAATTACTTCAGATTCGGGGTCAGTACTAAGTATTTACCTTCGCTTCGTTATTATAAATATTTGAAAAATGTAATAGAGTGTAATAGCTCTCGAAAATAAACGAAATATCGTTTTCAAAGAGACACAGTAGGCTGCCTTTCTGGAATTGATTTTACTTGATATTAGAATTTCGGTTAGTTAAATGATATAATCCATAAAAAATACTCTCTTTAATTAATTGATAAGTCTATGAAGTCCTTTCCTCGAATGGCTAACTAAAATTTTAGTCATGTTCCTCAAAGGCAAGTAAAATTTTTGGTCCTGTCTACATCTGCAGTTGTTATTGTCCACTAATCTATTACACACGAAAATCTGTGTTCTCCAAATGTATTTTTTCCCGTGGGGAAGACATCAATCGGCTAATAATGACGTGATATTTTTTGTAGCTAACGGGACGGGAGTAGAGTTAAACGTGTCGAAAGTAGAAGACGGTCCAGACGAGGATGACCTAGAGGAAGTTTTGGTGCAATGTGAAGTGCACGAAGCCACGCCCCTTCCAGATCTCTCAATCTTCGTCGACGAGTGAGTATACGAAAAACAGAGAGTAGGTTCACTCGCGTTTTATAATATTTTTGTCGTAATTACACTAACGCATTACACTATTTACGCATATTTTTAGGAATAATTTATCTAAACATGTAATCCCAAAGCATACATAAAAAAAATACTAAATTTGTTGTTTTCGTTTTTTATCTAGGCAAAATTGCGACATAAAAATGAAATAAAAAAAATTCATTGTTTTACATATGGATTTAAAAAAGGCTTTTGATACTGTGAGTCATGCATGAGTCAACCTGGATCATGATTCAAATAAAGCCTTACTTGTTAAATCGCAGACAGGTGGTTAAAATTAGTACAATCATACCTAATCAAAATACACCAACCGATTAGTTGCGTACACTACAAATTCTCGAAATTGTAACTAATTTATTTTAGAAAATGTTTTTCTTACCCGAATGCTTCATTATAAAACTAATAATTAGACTTATATTTTATTGTCTATTACTTATATTTGCTTTAGGCTTTATTAGATTTTCATATGTCGACGAAGCATAGTAGAAAGTCAAACTGAATAACAATCTCTTTCAGTGTTAAATTTGACAACGTGACGGTGGATGTGGAAGAAGATTCCAATGGAGTTTACAACGTGTTCTTGAACTTGACGCTCAGTTCGGATGTGGTTGCAGACGGATCAAATATACGGTGTGAATTATCGTATCCGAACCACAACGTCAGCCACCAGTACACAAGTGAAATCGTTTATAACTCAGGTTAGTTCTTATTGTTCTGTTCTTGTTCACCTGCCTATAGTTGCCTATGGTAGATGTACATGGTGATGTATTTTGAAGGTCAGTGTCTCGGGCCATTTGATAAACAGTTAAAAAGGTAATAGCAAGTGCCCAGCATGTTAAGTGAATATATGAGAGTTTTGTGTAAGTTATCAATATTAATCGACCAACTGTAATAAAAGTTTTTTGAATATATAAATAGCCTTTTTGATTTTTTAAGCTTTTTTGAGGTCGCTTTTAATTTTTAATTATATTTGTAGTTTATGTCTGGATGCGTGTGGGTTTACTATTACAAATAAACTATAAGTGCTTGTATATCATTAGGGTTAAGGGTTACATTTGTAATCAAACAGGTCCCCCGACCGCAATGAAAATGAAAATTTTGTATAGTCAATTTATAATACAAATTGTTTCTTTTATTGGATTTAAATTATTGTTTAATTTAATTGTCGCAGTTCTATCTACTATCTTGAAAAGTGTACGCATTTTTTCATGCACGCATTACAACGCCAAAACGCGAACGCCACATCGATGCCCGTTCCTCTTGTGACCCTACCACGAAATAACGTGCTTTCTTTTTTTGTAATGCGTCTAAAAGTTTCCGTATCAATCCAAGCATTATTTTTAATAAAATCACAACCAGCCCTGCGACTCTGTAAAAATCCAGACCCGAATTCATATCATTAGTGAAGAAATCTATTGATTATTTTTTTTTTAAATAGAAAACAAATTACTTGATTATACGTGTCTTAGATATTCTATTCCTATGTCATTTTGAAACTTACTTCACTTATGCAACGAAACGTTATAATCAATTCAAGATTCAGCTGATGCCGTTTTTTGAAGTGAATGGACACCTGAGTAGACTCGAATTCGGGTTTGGGTTTTTACAGAATCGCAGGACAGAAATCGAGTGACGTGTCTACATTGTGAATCGAATAAAATTGCGTATCGGAAAAAGACAGTGACAGAGAATCACGGTTTATCTACTTTTGGTGACACGCTTCTGTTTTCAACTAAAGCATGATTCTATGAGTAACTGCATTATTTTTCTCGGAACGGAATTCTCAGCCTTTGACTGTAGTGCCATCTAGTGCGAAAGAAGGCCCATCGCATGATTGTCAACTATTTTTATAGTGTTTTTGTTACATATTAGTAATAAAATATAAGCTCATTTGAATTGTAACAGGTCTGTTACATTTCACTTTTAAATAAACGAATCTTATTTTTTATCAGGAGCCAGCCAGGTTTTAATATTTCAAAATCGACATTAACGATACTTTATTAAATTTATTTCATAGAAAAAATATTACTGAAATGGCCAATTTTTTACTTTTTTAAGTATATACAACATTAACGGGCACACTCTGGGATTATTTTCTGAGCTCGCTTCTGATATACCGGTGTATATCTAATAGTTTCTTATTTTCAAGGGTTAAGCTTCATTTCATAAGTTTCGTTATTGCGTGTAATGATCAAATCTAGTTGGATATAAATGAAATAGATATGATAGCTCTTGTTATTAACACCCAAAAGTGAAAGATATAGGTACCGTCACATCTAGTCTGAAGTCTACTCTTTATAGCCTTTTCATAGCACTACAAAAAAAGCCTGAGAAATTACGTTCATAAATGTACAACAGTTTTACTATGCGAAAGTTCTTTTGTAATAGTTTACAAGCACAGCATGTTTTATTATTCATAATATTAATATCGCAACCGACTTGGCAATGTATAGGTAGTTGAATTTTCCAGAATAATTGCTAGATTTCCAAATTGCGGCTAACTGGTTTACTAAAAATATTACACTAGTGAAATAAAACGATTCAATAATCAAGCCAATAATTCCGGAGGAAAGGGCTCAATTTTAAATCATTGGTTGACTTTTGTGAGGATTTGCTTTCAACATTTTTTTAATGACGATTATAAATAAAAAAATCTTACATAAATTATGTAAAAAGTGGTGTAAAATCAAGGAACGTATCCATACTATGTAATCGGTTTAAAAGAAAAGGAGTTTTTAAAACAATACTATTTTCTATATATTGACTTAATTGGTAAATGGTAGAACCATATATAGATGGCTTGACCTATATTACGAGTGGTTACCGAAGGGCGGTGAGGGTATGAAGAGAAAAAAGAATGGGAAGAATGGGCGTAGTATGGATAAGTTTCATAAATAGCGCTGTAGCATGAGAGTTGGAGCTTTATTTTTGAATCATTCGTCTCTCGTCGAGCGCTCGTTCACCACTTATAATTCGCTCAACTGCAACGCGTGGTATGAACCACTCGTCGTTTAAAGAACGCTGTATGAGAATGATAGAATAATCGTCTAAACATGAAATTGATGTTTATGGCCGTTTTGTTTATATATATATATATGAATCATGTTGACCATTCTGTAGATGAACAATTCAAAAATACTAAAAAACGGCGTCATGCGACTTAGAAATCGAGCGTAACGTAGGTCGTATACGGCAAAAGGATTTGAAACGAATGAATTATAAATAGAGCTCCTGGGCTATGTAGTGTTTGTTGTATTTACTAACGTTGGTTGTCGATGGCGCCAGGCACTGCGCTGTCTACGACGGAGACGCCCGAGGACACGACACAGTCTGAACTCGCATCAGAATTGAAAAATAAAAGTAAGTCTCCCGCAAATAGAACACATTTACTCTTCTATATATGTAATAAATATACATACAAATACAACTTCGAGACAAAGATGTAACAAATTGTCAATTCCATTTAATTTATGAATTAAAGTCAAAAGCTATTTTGGTCTAATTTGGACTTTATGTTTGTAATTTAGTTGGATAATAGAAAATTAATAAATATCTAAGTTTTTAACCTGTATGTTGTGGTGTACCTAATCGGCTTTTTATTCTAAGGTTTGTTTGCCCATTACTTCGTATCACACAATGTTCGTGCCAAGAAAAAACATATTCTTTATGTTGACTAGTACGAGTTGACACTCTTTAGCATTCCGTCACCTATCGACACCGTAGCTGCGGTATTCTCTGTGAATACATAGCACGTCTCATACATTCAATACAAAGAGTATGTTATTTGTAAATGCGTATTATACGAGTTATATATTGCATATCACGTGATCCTGTGTAATGGGCATAGTACACCCTATTATTTGTATCGTACTTGATACGCTCATAACACCGTTTTGAAATGGTACAATATAAAAATAAATACAACGAAAAGGCTTTTTAGACTGCACGGTCTCAAAATACTTTAAATGAAATAAAAAATATTTTTAAAAATACACACGGACAGATGGTAATATATCAATATGTGCAAACAGCGACATATCCATTTGCCACAATATTTGAATTTGATCTCTACCCTACCCTTAATGCATTAGGTAAAGTTTACAATAATGTTGTGTCAAATTGATAAATTTGTATATCCTGACCCGCTATCTCTACATATATTATATTGCTTTTACTAATAACTATTAATTGAAATAATTATGCTTTTAAATTAATAAGGTTGTAATAAGTGTGGGTACACAACTAATTTTGACACTCTTGTTTGTCGTTGCTTAGTATGATATCTATCTTATATCTTCTTATATATAAAAATGAATCGCAAAATGTGTTGGTAAGCGCATAACTCAACAACGCCTCGACCAATTTGGCCAAATCTTTTTTTAAAATGTTCGTTGAAGTTCAAGGATGGTTTTTACGGCGAGAAAAATTAGAATTATTGCTGGAAAAACCCTAAAAATAGCCCTTTTCTTTTTCCCATACAAATGATTTGTAACTAAAACGTAGTCAATTTGAGATTTATTGCTATGGTATAAAGTTCATATTAAATTACAAGCACTCACTGTTGTCTAAGCAATGTAGGTGTGTTCCTAACGTCAAAGATCATATCTATCAAAACAATGTGCGTGTGTGCGTTGGAGCACAGAATACATAGTTGGAGGAGTTTAATGTCGCGTTCCGAAACTCGCGTTTCTTTTGTATTAGTTTCGGCACGCGAGATAAAATGCATCAGTTTCCACGTCATTACATGTATTGCCGGAACATTGATGAAAATACGCTCTGTAGTAGCAAAGCTGTTGGGTCCTAGATAGCTCATTGGTTAGAGCAGTCCCTGGATCGCGAATGGGTTCGAGTCCCATTCCGGGGTACAGGTAGATGGATTCTTCCAGCATTTTTCCTTGAGAATGTTTATATATTTTTTTAATTCGAATAGTTTACTTTTATAATGCTGTTGTGTGTAATGTGTTTTTATGATCATAAAAATCTCTTTTTTCTATATTTAATACTATTACTATTAATACATTGCAATAATAATTATGATTCACATGATTAACAATAAAGCGATTACTTACTTTTAAATCCTTATATATGTTTTATTTAATTATTTTTTATTCACAACGCCCTATCACCAGGGTGACGGTTCTGTTCAGGAGAATTTTTTTAAATACGTAGGCAAAAAAACTGCCACATTACAAATCTTTTTGACAGGACGAAGTCTGTCGGGTCAGCTAGTATCAAATAAAATTATACATGTGTATGAGCTAACTATTAACGCGAAATTAAATTCTGCCATCTATATAGTAATGCCAATGTTAATTCGGACATAGCAACATTCTACAAATCGATTATTATGAGCGGTCATCAAAAAAAAAAGATATTAAGTCGAAGCATCAAAATTTTTGGTCACTTGTAAACCGTTCATTAAGGTTTAATGACGACTTTAAGCTCTTATTAATGTTCGAAATTTAAAAGTTGTATCGGTTTGTCGCTTTGACAAATTTAACAGAAGTTTTTTTTAGCACATTATATCGATGTTATATGATATAAATTATATCTACCTATGATTAATGTTTTCACTTTCATCTGTAATTTTTTTAGGTATTGAAGCGACGTATCTAAATATATGTACAAAACTCGGTGGCGCGGTTGTAAGCGCGTTCATTCTGTGATGTTATGGTTGAAATTTATTAACAAGGGCTGACCAAAAATGTTTTATCGCTCGTCAAACCGTTGGTTCCGACTATATCTGCAGTTTTAGATATTCACCAACCGACTTGGCGGCATGATGTATTATAGCCCGATCTTCTTAAGATAGTTTTTGATTCTATTCATAAGGAAGTTATGTGCTCCAGCAGTGGGTAAATTATTAGGCTTATATTCTTTTGACCTAAGACTTTTTATGTTCGGAGGCCGCTAATACTAATTTTCAATTGTCATTTATGATGAGCTCGTAAACCCAAGTTCCTCAGTAAATTTAAACTAATGTATTGAATTGGTACTAGGAAAATATTAAAGATTTGTTAGTTGAGCATTATTAAAAGTGATTAATGAAGTTACAATAGTATTGATTTATCTGTTATTGATTTTCAGATGGCGTTAGCAATAGAAGCCGATGGATATTATACGCTGTTCCCGTAGTTTTCGCTATTCTAAATAACTTATTGTGATACTAATTTTATGAACGATATTGTATTTGTCTCAATATTAACTGTAACATTAAATTTATATTTGTTAGTTAAGGACTTTTCATTTAATTGTTCTATCTTTATCATCATTACCTGCTCTCGTGCAGAGAATTATTGTTGTTAACATGTGCTTTTCGAACAAAACTTTTTTCTGTGGTAAATTTTAGAGATTTATTTTTTTATTTAAAAATCTTAAATATACTTCAAATAATCGAAAAAAGGAAATTAGTAAAAATTACGTATTTGTTTAAGCATGATTTATAGAATTATCACTTTTTAATTTATAATTAATACCTAATCGCACCTAGCTACTATTCTAACGCGGTAAATAGCCTAAGACTTCTATGTTCTGGTGTTGCCCCCTCCACTCGTTGCGGGGAGGTGATTCTGTGGCTGCCGTCTGTAACACTAATATAAACACTTATTAAATCAAACTTTCTAGTTTCCGTGTGACAAACTTGCATTACCTAGCAGGTACTCGAGACTCGAGTACCTGGAATATAGATTTCGAAGCAAATATTACTTTAAGTATACTAAGTTTTTATTAATCTTTTGATACTCAAAACTATCGGTCCAAAAGCGATTGCAACTTTAAACTCAGACCACAGCACAGAGCCTAACCTAAGAGCCAAAGTAATTAACTGGGACGGTTGTTTTCGACTCCGATATTAAGATAACATTTTTTTTTTTTTCGGTTCTCAACCTTAAGGGCTCGGAACCACCTTCCCATCAACGGAGGAAGGAGGCGGTGAATCCTTCATTGGATACCAACACAGCCGGCTGTGAGGGTTATGTCAGACTCCTACTGACTAAACACCGCCTTGGACTAATGGTTACATACCCGGAGGCAACGAACCTTCATCGGAGCGACCGCCCCCCCTCAAGGGGGGGGGGGGCGGCGCAGACGTCCCTAAACACATACATGAATAGTGACGTCGAGAATACAGCTGACTCCCTGAAGGGGAACGATCAGCCGGATCGGACGGGGGCATGACCTGAAGGGTCGACGTATGGAGGGCGGCATCACATACCACCAGAAGGGTGCTATCTGATACTCGTAGCAACTTGTGTGGCCTGCATCCTGAAGGGATGTCAGGTCGAGAGGACAGAGTGGGTTGACCTGAAGGGTCGGTATGATGGGGATGGATGGATTTGGCCTACTGGGTCTCGTGAGGAGGTCCTGGTCGGCCAAAGGATGGGTTGTGGGAGGTTTGGGAAACCTAACATGTTAGTGCTTATGATAAGGCACTTAGTAACGCTTCGTGTTCACACAGCGCCAGAAGGCGTTCCCGTGTGGACGAAGCGCGGCGGAGCTTAGCCGCTACGGTGCTGACTTCATCTATGTCGATTCCACGAATCAAGTTCAGAACTGTATTCATGTCATCGACTAAAGATGAGGAATCGGGAGCAGTTTTGGGAGGTGGGACGGAAGCCTTTGGTGAGGGCTTCGTCCATACCGGTTGTGGAGCCGGTTTGGGGGCGGAATAGTTCGCCTTTGGTAAGGCGGGGAAGTTCGCCGCAGTGGGCGGGGGGGGGGGGGGGGGGCTTTAGGTGCTTTATTGGGCACCGGGCCCTTGCCCTTCTTCTTAGAAGAGGGTTTGGGCTTCGGTGCTCGTGGGCAACCTTTGTAGTTGGCCGTGTGGCCGATTTGGCCACACAGTACACAAGCCGGAGGGGTGAGTGTGTCTCGAGTTCGAGAGCACTCCTTTGTGGGGTGTGACTCGAGGCACTTTACGCACCTCGGAGTCGCGGAACAGTTAGCCGCCGCATGCCCGTAGAGCTGGCATCGGTGGCACTGTCCCGGAGTACCGCGTCGGTGAGGGGGTTCTACTTTAACCCCGGAAAGGCCGCAGACCCTAAGATCTTTAGCCTTAAAAATGTCTCGAGCGTTGGGGACATTCGGAATGATGAGTAGAGCCAGAGGGAAGGGCCTGCCGGCTCTACTGTGCATCTTATGAACGGATTCTATAGAGAATCCCTGTTCGTTAAGATCCTTATGGATCTGATCGGTGGCGAGCTCGTACGGAACATTTCGCAGAACCGCACGAACTTTACGCTCCTCTGGGAGAGCGTAGGTGTGATAACCCACCTTGTGGTGGGTTAGGAGTCTAGTGAGGGCTCTATAGTCCTCGCTAGTGGGTGTTTCCACCCGGATAGCTACACCCATGTTTTTGGCATGGGTGTAGTTGATCTTGTTTTGTGCGCAGAGATTCGAGACCTCTGCCCACCTTGATTTGTCCCGTATAAATACGGGAGGCGGAGGTTTGGGTTTACGCGGCCGTGGATCGCATTTATTATGCGGCCGCAGCGGGGTGAAGGGGGGGGGGGGGAATACTAGATGTATTCTCCCGAGTGGCTTTTTTGCCGGTGACGCTTACCGCTGAAGCGTCCGCACTTGCTCTGGGAGAGCGTGGCTTACGACGCTTCTTGCGGCTTCTAACCGTATGAAAAGAGTTAGAAGAATCGTCGGAGTCGGAAAACGCGACGCGGAAAAATGCGGCTATCCCTAATGGATATAGCGGCAAACCTTCACCCTTGGGACAAGGCCCAAGTGCACTGGGATCGGGTCTTCGGTGTTGCTAAAGCCTGAAGGGCCTTAGCGAGCGCACCGGGATCGCTCAGTTGGCTTAGTTGCCACCGTTAGGTATCCACCAACTCAAGAACTTGAGAGTGAGTCAAGTCCTGCTGGTTTGATGTTTTGAAAAAAACAAAATCAGCAGGGCCTGCGCTCGGGGTGTGCAGACGGCACGAGAGTACTCACAGTTTGGGTAGGAGAGAGTCGTGTACGCGCACGGGGGCGCGCAACTAAAGCTGAGAGCGGAATCAAGATAACATTAAATAGCATATAACTTATACAATCTAACAATATAAACTGATACCGCGATGCATTAAATGAACAGCGCCATCTAGTTTGCAGACTTAGAACTATTCGGGCACCTATGAAGATGATGGGTGTGTTACATATAAGTATCTTTATCATAACAATATTGTCGCAAACTTGAAACTTCATATTTAACATGACAATTTTGCAGCGACATTGTCACAAACTTGCCTCGTATATTTCACGCAGCAATTTAGAATCAAAGAAAAATCAAACTTGCCCCAAGTTAGCATGCTATCTAAGATTGTACAGGCTGAAGCAAGCCCCAAAAGCCTGGAACACAAAACTACATACTGCTCTTGTGCAACTAGGTTTTAGGAGATCAAAGAATGAACCATGTGTGTACATGAAGTCTCAATGCAAGAAGATCATTATCTTGGCAGCATATGTCAACGATATGCTGATCTTTTGGAATGACATGCAGGAGTTACAAAAGGTTAAAAAGGACCTTATGTCTAAGTTTGAGATGAAGGATCTTGGAAGTGCAGAGCTCATACTGGGCATGCGAATAACTCAGAATGAGATAGAAATTAAGGTTGATCAGGAGAAATATATTCAGAAGATTCTGAAAAAATAAAGATGGTTGATTGCAAGGCTGTATCAACTCCTTCAGTCCCTGGTCAGAAGTTGGAAAAACCAGGACCTGAATACAAACCTGATCCTAAAATACCTTACCAAAATTTAATTAGTTCACTCATGTACACTTCTGTCTGTACGAGACCAGTTATAGCACATGTTGTGAACTACTTGAGCCAGTTCAATAATTGTTATAGGGAGGGGCACTGGACAGCTGCGAAGCGGGTGCTCCGGTATCTTAAAGGTACACAAGACCTTGGACTGCAATATAAGAAGACAGGGTTGAAAGACATTGTGGGCTTTGCTGATGCAAGCCATGCAAGCTGCTACGATAGGCGATCCTACTCGGGCATAGTCTTCAAGCACATGGGAGCTGCTATATGCTGGGAGAGTAGAAAGCAGAAAACGGTAGCTCTGTCGATAGCAGAAGCTGAATAATTATGTGGTAATGTCGGAAGCTGCTAGAAAAGCAATCTTCCTGAAGAAATTCGTTGCAGAAGTCACTGACCAAGCTGAGGTTCAAATCTGCAATAAAAGCTGGACATTCGGATGAAGAGCAATTGAATCAATTCAAATCGACTATATGCGTGAAACTGTAATGACGCTGTTATTATGCACGACTTATAAGATTCGAATGTCGCTAGTACTCGAATCCTGTATTCGAGGTACTCGAGTACCTGAGTACCAGCTAGGTGTTCGAGTCAGTCTGACTCGTCACATCTCTAGTATTTATTATCTGTGAGGGGAATGTAGTATCTCCTTACTAGTCTGTGGGGGAATGGTTAGGAAACGTCAGTGGGAAATGTTATTGTTTTTTTCCTTTTGTGGATTTGTTTAGTGTTTTACTGCAAATTTAAGTAAAACTCAGTGAAGAATTATGATAATACATTAAACAAATGATCCACATGCGTTTTTAATAAAAGAGATGAGAAATAAGTACTTTACTTAAAATTATATTTATGTGATAAAAGTTTTTAATAGGTTATCATGTGGTCAATAGTGATTTTACTAATTTTATCAATTTTAGCCTACGTAGTAACAGATGAATTAATACCTAAGCTTAAAGACTTGTTTATAAAGGCAGGCCTCTACGGAATTGACTTGTGTAAAAGCAATAATAAGAAAATGTGAGTTATATTTTTACTAACACAAAGATGTGTACTAGCCCAGCCCTTGTGTAATTTGATAAACACACAAACACTGGTACCTCACATATTTCATATGCATTTCCGCCAAATCTACCATGTAATCAAATCTATTTAGTCTATATCTTTATTTTGCTTGTGATTTTGATTGAACATACCTTTGAAATACTTGATTAAATTATTAATAAACCTTATGCAAACTACAAAAATTTGAATCAACAAAATATATGTAATTTAATATAATCATTATTTCAAAAGAAATAATAAAAATAGTCTTGATGAATGTAAAAATCTAACACTGTTAAACAATTATCAGTCATCATATCTTGGTCTACTTTTGAGTAGGGACATATTTAAATACTCAGTTCTATAATTTGCATTAATGCTTTATTTTCAGACCAGAAGCAATTGGTGTGGTTTCCGGATGCATTTTTTTAGTAACTAGTTTCATTTTTATACCAATTGCATTCGGAAATGGGCTGATGGAAAGAGAATTGTTTCCACACAATGAAGTACATATTTATTTATATTATTTATACATAAGGCTGCCACTAACCTAAGTCTAATTATCGTTTAAAATTATATTATTGTCCATATCAGTAATTTCTATACTGGCAGCCCAATGCATTTTCAAAGTATTTGCTAATGTTAAGTATTTAAGTTAGTTTGCAGAACTGCTGGCAGCACTCCTGTCAATATGCTGTATGTTGCTGTTAGGATTTGCAGATGATGTTCTTGACTTGAAATGGAGATATAAATTACTTCTCCCAACAGTGGCATCCTTACCATTACTTGTTGTATATTATGTAAATTTTAACTCTACCACTTTTGTGATACCTATACCATTACGACAATGGCTGGGATCTTCAATAAATATTGGTAATTATGTAACTATGGTGAATATATACCTGTTCATATATTTTCTTTACAGAGTGGCAAATACATCAAATGTCACAGTATTATAACACAATTATCATTATGTGGTAGCTTATCGATGTTTAATCCTTATCATTTAATTTACCTTTATTTTGTTAATGAAACTGCAGACAAATTATTATGTCAATTTCAGGGTTGCTCTACTATGTTTACATGGGCATGTTAGCTGTTTTCTGCACAAATGCCATAAATATTTTAGCTGGAATTAATGGACTTGAAGTGGGACAATCAGTTATTATAGCTTTGTCAATTATAATATTTGATATTATAGAATTAAGAGGAGATCAATTTAAAGCTCATATGTTTTCATTATACATAATGACACCCTATTTAGCAACAACATTGGCCTTGTTGAAACATAATTGGTAAGTATATTATTTTGTCTAACACTCATCACTTAACTGGGTCTGTTTTGTGTTTGTTGAAATATGTATGTATGTATGTAGTGCACAATATTACTGCAATCATTTTACAAACATCATCAGTTCATTATATTCCATATTAGATAATATCATCAACAGTGAAATATGTTGTATGAGTTGATGGTATACACAGCTTGTTAGGTCAAATAACTACAGAAATAAAAATAAATAATTCTTATGAGAATGGTTTTCTTATAAGTGACTTATGCACCTCACTGAAACCATCCCCGACTAGACTGAAATTAATTCTGTCAATCTTACTTTTAATTCCCATTACTATAACTTTCATATGCATTAGTTAACATTACTCTCATGTCCAAAGTATCTTCTTTTTCAGGTACCCTTCGAAAGTCTTTGTTGGTGATACATTTTGCTACGTATCTGGAATGACGTTTGCAGTAGTAGGCATTCTGAGCCACTTTAGCAAAACTGTATTATTATTCTTTTTACCTCAAGTGATTAATTTCCTTTATTCAGTTCCTCAGTTGTTTCGTATTATACCATGCCCTAGGCATCGTTTACCCAAGTATAATGCTGAGATGGACTTGCTTGAACCTAGTAGAACTTTAATTGTGAAGAAAGAAATGACCATTATTAATAAAGCTTTAGTACAGGTACTAACAATTTTACATTTAATAGATACAATTGAGGATAGTGAGAGTATAACAATTAATAATATGACTTTAATTAATTTTACTTTGATAAAATTAGGTCCAATGTCTGAAGGTACCTTGACTGCAAAGTTATTAATTTTTCAGTGCGTATGTACTTTGATAGCTTTTCTAATACGATACCCTATGGCTTCTTATTTTTATGATACCTAAAAGTCCCTTTAGCTGTGTAGAATCAAAACAACTGATTATTTTTGTGTATAATTTTAAGCATAAATAAACCATGTTCATATAATAAATACTTTGTTTTTCATTAATCCTACGACAGAAGTTATATACAGAATAATATATTGGTTCATTTCATTTTACTGTATCAATTATGTACCAAAACCTTTATTTACTTACAACTTTAATTTAACCAAATATCATACAATATGTTATCTTCGGTATCATTTTCATTTATCACTCTAAGAGTTTTGAGTGTCTGCAAATAAAAAGTAAGTTCCGAAGTAACAACTCCATGTTGAGGACTACCATTTGCTACAATATTCATCTTTGCTAATTGCTCTCTCAGTTTATCCTTAAAATTATCATGTACTCTTTTATATATTATCTGTATTTGTTCTATGGGAAGAATATCAATAAGTGCTTCATGTAATTTTACAAGATGTTTAGAAATGTTTCTAAATGTCTGTGATGGTACAGGTGGCTTTGCATCCCATCCTGATAACTGAGAACAGAGCATGTTACTGACTATTGTACAAATTTTATTTTCTATTTCATTTTTATGACTAACTATATCACTTTCCATATTACTAAAACCAACAAGAGATAGTTCTTTAGAATGCAGTTTTTCAAGTAACGTTTTAATTAGAGGTAAGATCCATAAAATTACCTGAAGAGATCTAGAAACTAATGCTAGATTTGATGTCGAAATTGTTTTTAATCCTGCACTTTGTATGGCCCCTGCTCCAAGCACCAATTGGCAACAGCGAGAATTAAATAATCTTATTAATTCCAACATGCAATGTATTAAGTACTGAACTATGACAGGTGATTGCTTGGTAGCATCACAATATTCCAGTAAAATTTTGATCAAAAGTTGTACAGTTCCAACTACAGCAAAGTTTTCATTATTGATTACCAAATATGTTCCATCGGGTTTTCCAGTTTCATAAATGATTGTGGGAGGTATTTCTCCATTTTCACATATTTTATTAACAATACTTTGTAGTTGATATGGAACATCTGCTGTTTTCCATCTCTCCGAGTTGAGACTTACTACGAGTTGAGACCTTCTCTCTGTGTGTAAAATCTGTATATATTTCATTGCAAAACTTCTTAATGCCAATTTCATTGCATTACTATAATGACCTGTAATCTTTTCACATTCATTAGAAAAGTAATCAATTAAGTTTGACAGCTTTGAGAGTTGTGACAAATCAGAAAATACATTGTCCTTTTCAGTTTTTGTAACAATCAAATTAGCACAGCGCTCATTACAATAATCAGATAAGGACACTATTAGTTTTCGCAATTTCTCTTCAATAGAAACTAATTCCTCCTGAGACCAAGATTCTTCACTTTCAGTACCACTTACATCATCCATTTGGCTTATTTCTAATATCAAGTTGTTCAAAGTTAAAATCCTCTTGAATAAATTGATTAAATTTGGGCTTACTTTTTCAAGAAATATAATACCCTCATTACACATTAACCACATGTTGTCAGCATTAGACCCCCTTAGTACTATTTCTGTATTGCCATCCCTCTGTGATATAATTTCTATAACACATTGCTTTATTGTAGCCTGTATAGAAGTTATTGCTTCTAGTTTAAAAGCATCAATAAAATCAAATTCTTTCATTCTCAGGAGTCCTGATACAATAGATACTATTTTATCCCTCTCAGGAATTTCACTATCATCCTTTGGATGTCTATTCAAGTCTGCAATAATAAATCTTTGAAATTCATCACTTAACATTTTATGGATTAGTCTTTTCATTTCAGTCAATTGAGGAGATAAATGACGAAATGCTTGAATACCTACTAATTTAGTGGACAATACTTTTTGAGTTGAACTGATCAAATCCAAAGCTGCTACATAGTCTGAAGTGCTTAGAAGTAACTGAATCATGGGTTGTGTTTGTTGTACTGTCCCCATTAATTTCAAGTGCTCATGAATATTGCTCAAATTGTGATTGATTCTTGTCAAGCTTACCAATCGGAGGGGACATTCTGTCAAGTTTTGTTTTAATTTTTTTATATTCTGCCGTGTTTGCTTAACTGTTTTTGTTGCTCTTTCCATTTGCTCCATTATTGTATCATGTGAAAGCATGGCATGAAAAAATGCATCAGATTTTTGTGCTACTTGTTTAGATATTTTCATTTCAATAACATCAAGGTATGTACTTAATGTCTCTTGAAGTGCTCTGATAGCAACACTAGAGTCATCAGATTGACATAAACTAGGGAACACTTTATAAAAAATGTTTGGGTCATTTAAAGGTAAAGATGGTTCAAAAAACACATTTGGTACATCGCACACTGCCTCTGATACAGGAGACTTAGCTTTGACTGGATTATTTTCTTTTAATCGATTGTGTCTGCGATATCTTTTAGCTATTTTTTTACAATATGATTCGAAATGTGCTACATTGATTTCAGGTAAATATGGACTAGGGTGAATATCAATTTTATCTACAAAATTATCACCCCATGTTTTTGTAAAAAAATTACTTTGTTTACCTCGATTTGGATCATTTAATACTGCTGGAAGATTCTGTGATGATGAATAAAAAGTCCAATCATCATTTCCATCTATGGAATACAGATGATGTTCCCTAACATGGTATTTAAATCCTGCTTTCCTTAAATCGCCAAATTGAAGAGCAGAGCAAATTCCATTCTGACCATATTGGCATAGAATAATAGACCCCTCCTTGATGCTGTGCTTATCTTGAATATGTCTGCAAAAAAAATAGAGTGTACATTAGACGGAATAAATATATTTTCTTAAACAAATCATATCTGCAGTTTGAATGGACATGTGATACATTTTATTAGAACCAACAAACCTTTCAAACTCCGTGGCAGTGGAGAAAATTAAACTTGGACAATGAGCACAGTTTTGCCATGAAGGCAGTTTTTTCAAAGTGGTAATTTCGTTCTCCATATCATCATCGTCTTGAAGAGTTACAATAAGACAAATTTAACGAATTATGGCCGGTAATAAATAAAACAATTCATTCATTTCACATACTCAATCTAGGCCCATTATAGCGTTAGTGATGTCCAAAAATAATCGGATATGACATAAAGCGATTTCTTATTGATTTTTCTTCAAGGAAAAGACGATTATTATTTCTAAAACCGATTAAGGATATATTATATCATTTAACCCTTTTACGTTTAGGTCAACGAATTTGAAAATGTTAGAGGTTAGATATCAACCACAAAAGAGTTCTGTCTGTTTAGCCTCTAACAATCATAGATTTTTATGACAAGATGTCATAAGCTTTTTGTTTTTTCTATGGTATATGTAAAATATTAAGTGTTGTGTTTAAAAGTATCTTTTAAAGTAAATAAATTGTGTTAATAATTCAAGTGTCTGTTGTTGCCACTGTAGTTGCCACTGCATACTCTGTCAGACTGCTTTAATACAAGGTATAGCTGCTTATAATAGGTGATTGAGCCAGCACGGTGGAAAAGGCAGCCCAATAATGGATTTTACACAAGTAAAGCTTGGCAACCTTCAAGGAAAGGCAGATTGGGCAATGTGGAAATATAAAGTTATCCAAGTGCTTGATGGTATACCAGGGATGCTTGATATTGTGGAAGGTAATACCCATTTGCCAATCATTCCAGAAGGCGCAGGTGATGCTGAAAAGGCTTCTCATAACAAAGATGTAGCAGAGTATAAGAAGTTACATAGCACTGCCATGATAATTATCACAACTAACTTAAGTAATGCCATTATAGAGAAGGTAATGCGCTTCAACAAAGCCAATGATGTATGGCAAGAATTGCACAGACTTTACTCAGGTAATTCTGAAGACAGAGCATACAGCGCGTGTCAGAAATTCTTTAACTACCAATACCAACCAGAAGATGACATGGCAACCCATATGTCAAAATTGAAAAACATTTGGAACGAGATAAATCTACAATTAAAAGAGAATCTTCCTGAGATTTTATTAATGATTAAAATTACTGATTCTCTTGATGACAGATACTCGGCCTTTAAGTCAAGTTGGCTACTATTAAGTGCAAAGGAGAAAACGATTGAGACACTTACTGAGAAACTTTGTGCGTTTGAAAGTTCACTAAAGACACCTTCTGAAGATAAAGAAGAAACACTCACTGTCAACAATTCGAACAATAGCTCGAAAACAAAAAAGAAACAGTGGAAATGCAATTACTGCAAAGAAAAAGGCCATGGAGTTAAGACCTGCCCTAAGTGGATTAAGGATGGAAGACCACCGAAACCCAGTAAATCAGGTCAAGTTCAAAACGTCACCTTGATGGCTTGTACCTTACAGACAAGGAACGAAGATTTTTGGTATGTCGACAATGGCGCGACGTCACACGTCACAAATAATAAGGAGAATTTCATAAATTTCCAGAAATTCGATCGTCCTGATCACACGGTTACTACTGCCGATGGAACCATAATTCCTGCGTTAGGGAAAGGTTGTATCACAGTAAAATCTGCAATTACTGACGATAAGATCACCTTAAGTGATGTCTGGCTGGTTCCGAAACTAACCAAAAATTTATTTTCGATGTTGGCTGCTCAAGACAAATTGCCGAACAGTGTATTTACTTCTACGAATCGTGAATGCAAATTAACGGTTAATGGTCAAGTCATGCTTTCAGGTAGCCGCAAACCGAATGGTGGTTTGTATAAGCTCAAGCTTAAGGTCGTAAAGGGTGATAAAGAAAACCAAGTTAATGCAGTAACTGAAAACAATAAGCTTCAATTATATCATGAGCGCTTTGCGCACCAAAACAAAAGGCACTTGATTGAACTAGTCAAAAGGAAGCTAGGCATTCGCTTAAAGCCTGATGAGATGCAATGTGAAGCATGTATCAATGGAAAGTCGCACAGATTGAAAATCGGAAAAAGGGTAAGAGCAGACACACCCGGTGAACTGATTCATATGGATGTATGCGGACCCTTCCCAAATAGTCGTCGCAAGTATAGATATTACGTGCTCTTTAAGGATGACTATTCAAGCTACCGTATGGTCCACTTCCTACGAAAAAAAACTGCAAAAGTGCAAGAGAAATTAAAGCAAATGTTACAAGAGGTAAAAACAGCGGGTTATACCGTAAAGACCGTTCTCAGTGACAACGGTGGAGAATTCGACAACGAAGCCGTACGTAAGGTATTACGAAGTCACGGTGTTCAGCAAAGGCTGACCATGCCCTCCACACCAGAGCAGAACGGATGTTATGAACGTGAAAATAGAACGCTAGTAGAAGCAGCAAGAATAATGCTACACGCTCAAGACGGATTACCTGAATTTTTATGGGCAGAGCTCATAAACACTGCTGCATATGTACTAAACCGGACCGGTCCAACAAGAATTGAGGGAAAAGTTCCATATGAGCTATGGAATGGCAAAGAGCCAAAGATTACACACCTGCGAGTGATTGGCAGTACTTGCTTTGCACACGTACCCAAACAGCAACGCAAGAAGTTGGCTAAGAAAACCATCAAAGGTGGATTGATGAAAACCATCTTGATTGGATATGAACAAGACGATGGATTCAGGATCTGGACAGGGCAAGGTGCAATAAAATCAAGGGACGTAACGTTCCAAGAAAACGCCAAAATAAGGGCATTGCCAGAGAGCTCAAATAATACAGAACCTGAACGGATCCAGTTTGATCAAGAAGAACCCTCAATCATAAGATTGAAACTGAGAAGTCAGACGCCAACTGAGGACACGACGTCGATTAAATATCGGGGAAATGGACCGGTGACCACAGAAGTCGATGAGCAAGAAGAAACTGACGTGACCTTGGAACAAGGGGAGAACCTTCAAACCTCAGAGCTAGGGGAGATACCGTAGAGGGAAAGTTCTGCAGCGTCGCGAAACTACTCCATTCAAACTATTCCAACTGAGGATGAAGCTATGTTAAGCGTTGACGAATCAGAAACAGAGCAGTTCCATGATACAACTGAAAATTACATAGATGTAACAGAACCACATTATAACTTAAGAGACAGATCCAGATTGAGGCCACCTGTGAAACTTAACGACTATGTGACCTACGTGGACTGCTTTAACTGTGAATTTCCGGAGACGTTCAAAGAAGCTATTCAAGGGCCAAATAGTGAAGAATTGCGATCTGCTATGGAGAAGGAGATGAACTCTATGAAAGAAAATAACGTCTGGACACTTACAAAGCTACCTCAAAACAGAAAGGCCTTACCATGTAAATGGGTTTTCAGAATAAAATATAACCTTGATGGAAGCGTTGATAAACACAAAGCGCGCCTTGTAATTAAAGGTTTCAAGCAGTGGAAAGGCATTGATTATGCTGAAACATACAACCCAGTTGCCGAAATGGCAACGATACGAGCTCTGCTAAGCGTTGCTGCCCAAGAAAACCTACACTTAGTGGAGTTTGATGTCACAACAGCCTTTCTAAATGGAAAATTAAATCAAGACCTTTACATGCAACAGCCGGATGGATTTGACGATGGCTTAGGTCTTGTTTGCAAGCTCAACAGAAGCCTCTATGGCTTAAAGCCAGCACCAAGATGCTGGAATGTTTGCTTTGCTGAAATACTCATTGTTATGGGATTTAAACAAGCTGATGCTGATACATGTCTATTTATAAAACAGATGGTAGGGAAGAAAGTCTTGCTAACGCTGTATGTAGACGATGGACTAGTGGCTGCAAGCGATGAGGAAACAGCAAACATTTTCTTAGAGGATCTGCAGAAACGCTTGAAGTTTACAAGCAAACCGATCTCTTACTACCTAGGACTAGAGATTGAGAAATGGAAGGACGGTTCTATTTTCATAAGACAGGAGTCATACACCAAGAAGATTTTAGAACTTTTTCACATGTCGGATTGTAATTCGATCTCAACACCAATAGAAGGTAAACCATTGGAAGAAACCAACCTGGAGGAAGTTTTCCTTACCGAGAGGCAGTCGGCGCTTTAGCATACCTGATGACTGGTACGCGACCCAGATATTGCCTACGCAGTTGGAGTTGTGTCCAGAAAACTGGAGAATCCTGGAAAAGGGGACTGGCAAAGAGTCAAAAGGATCTTTAGATATTTAAAAGGCACTGTGAGCTATGGTATTAAGTATCACACAAGAACGCAACAAACAACAAAAGGCATTGTTATAGTGATGCAGATCATGGTGGTGATGAACAAACAGTTCTACTACAGGAGTCGCTTGTCTTTTTGCTGAAGGCATCGTTTCCTCGCTTAGTCAGCGACAGCCATCTGTTGCTATTTCCACTACAGAAGCAGAAATTGTAGCTGCAAGTGAAGGTGCCCGTGAGCTAATATGGCTTCAAAGGATTTTCGAATTTATAACCACGTTAGACACGATTCCCGAGCTGTTTGTAGACAATGAAGCTGCCATACGTTTAGCAAACAATCCCGAGTTTCATAAACGAACAAAGCACATTCGTATAAGACACTTCTTCGTCAGAGAAACTGTCCAAGAAGGATTGGTGAATGTTCAGAAAATAAGTTCAGCTTATCAACTGGCCGACATTATGACTAAACCTGTTCCGAAGCCTAGGCTCGTAAGAATACGCACTGATTTAGGGCTAAAGACCAATTTTTCTGGTCAATAAGGGAAAGTGTTAGAGATTAGATATCAACCACAAAAGAGATCTGTCTGTTTAGCCTCTAACAATCATAGATTTTTATGACAAGATGTCATAAGCTTTTGGTTTTTTCTATGGTATATGTAAAATATTAAGTGTTGTGTTTAAAAGTATCTTTAAAAGTAAATAAATTGTGTCAATAATTCAAGAGACTGTTGTTGCCACTGCATACTCTGTCAGACTGCTTTAATACAAGGTATAGCTGCATATAATAGAAAACGATTTTTTTATTTATGAAGAAAAATATTATAGTAAAAAAAGAGTTTACCTATTAGATGGCACACTTCTTCTAATTGCATCGAAAGTTGCACTCGGAGTGTCGAAGAATAAATTGGTTATAACAAATAATAAATATACAGGGAGGAACAAAATTACCGACACAGCTGAAAGTTTCAAGTTAGGTTACATGCAAACGTTCATTTTATTTGACAAATATGTA